GTGCAAGGTATCAATCTTGTCCGAAAGAATCGCATTTAACGGCGGTGAAACGGATAATGAAGTATCTTGTTGGTACAATGAACGTTGGACTATGGTACCCCAAGGGGTCTCCTTGTCATCTTTTTGGCTATTCCGACTCGGACTTTGCCGGTTGTAGATTAGACCGTAAGAGTATGAGTGGGACTTGTCACTTGCTTGGTAATTCTTTAGTCTCATAGTTTAGCAAGAAGCAAGTCAGTGTTGCGTTATCCACAACCGAAGTGGAATATGTTGCCGCCGGTAGCTGTTGTGCTCAAATCTTTTGGATGAAGCAACAACTTGTGGATTATGGCCTTAGTATCGATCACGTCCCTCTTCGATGTGATAATACTAGTGCCATAAGCTTGACGAATAATCGGGTTCTTCACTCAAGGACGAAACATATTGACATTAGGCATCATTTCATTAGAGATCATGTTCTCAAAGGTGATGTCGAAATTGAGTTCGTTGAAACACACAACCAATTAGCCGACATTTTCACAAAACCTTTAGAGAAAGAGTCGTTCTTCCGCATTCGTAGTGAACTCGGAATCCTTGACTCCACGATGATCTAAATTGTGCATTAATTATTATTTTTGGTACCTACTAACTTGAACGTCGGAGACGTTTTTAATTCTTTTTGCAGGGCTCTTTTTTTAATTTTATTTTCAGGTGTCAAAGTCAGGGGGGACAAAAGAAATCGATTTCTAGTTCCCAGGACTGAGTGTAAATCGATTTACAACCCTGAGATAATCGATTATCACTGTCCGCAGAAGTTTGGAGCAAATCCATCGCAAAACCTCAACAATCGATTTTCCAAGTCATGATAATCGATTATTTAAGCCTGCAGAAGTTAAAGGCAACTCAGGCGCAAACTACAATAATCGATTTACAACCAGGCAGAAATCGATTATTGAAGCCTGCAGTTCCTTCGGCGGAGAATTTGAAAACCTAGATAATCGATTTACAGGTTATGTAAATCGATTTACAACGGTAGATTTTCAAAAATCTGACCGTTTTCTAGCCGTTTGGAGAGCAATTAATGCCTGTTTGACCACCTCTACGAATCTCCAAGGCTTCTACTCTATAAATTGGTGATTTCTATTCATTTTATACTCACTCAAATCATACTTTCTCCATATATTCATCATAATTCATCATTCTTGCTCCTATTCTTCATTTTCTTTCCAAATTCCTGCAATTTTCTCTTTGCCTTGCTCTGCCCCCTACTCTTTGTTGCAATGGCAGGCGGTCAAAGAAAGCGTTCCCGCACCAGCAAGAACGTGGCTTCTTCCTCGGCTCCTCCACCACCGGCGCACAAGTACCTCGACGGGCCGTTCCTTTGGTTCAACGACCACGAAGAGGCGACGCGGTTCTCGGAGAAATTTGAGCACCGGGAGATTCTCCCTCCCCGATTCTCCACAGCCCGCTTCATTCATGACTCCATTCCACGTGAGGCACGGGAATCAAAGTGGGACTCAAAGCGTTGGTAGAGATGACACGGTGGACGAAGAAGAAGAAGAAGAAGAGGAAGAAGAAGCTGATGATGGCGACGGTGACGAAGATGAAGAAGAAGAAGAAGACATTGACGAAGAACAACTTCTCAATGATCTTTCCCCGGATTTCTAGAGCTCTAGCTCTACTTTCTTCTCTTCCTTATTTTATCATCTTTTAATATGCTTTCGTTATGTACTCCGCTATTTCCCTTAATTAATTAATAAAAATCTTTATGATCTTAGTTGTTAACAATCTTTTTGTTAATGTCAAAAGGGGGAAGATAAGGGCTATGCTTACATTAAGGGGGAATTTTTTTTAAGGGGGAATTTTTTTTCAAAAAGATCAAAACCCTATGCATATCCCCGTCTTGTTTGCCATTATCAAAAAGGGGGAAATTGTTGGAACACACTTTGTACGATAAACTAAAGTCGTGTTCATTTCTGACAGGTTTTGATAATTGCCAAACCGCCGTGGATATAAAGAGTTTCGTTGAATAACTCACGACGTGAAGAATGGCTTGGAACAAGACCTAAAAGACTCAAGGACAAGATCAAGAATTGAAGACTTAGTCGAGTCGGTCTCTTGTGATCAAAACTGACAATATATTCAAGTCTCGGTTCTCAAATAGTCAAAACAATTTTTACAATCCATAAAATATTTTTTGTGCATCAAAACAAACATTTTTGATGATTTCTTTTATTGTTAAAATCCATGGTCCTTGCTCGGAGAGCCAAAACCACCTAAGTCGGCGTTCGGCTTTTGGCGCCCGAACCAACTCCGTGGTTTTCAATATTTTAAACCCTGTTTTTACCTCTGAGCTTTTTTTTAAAAAATGTTTCCAAATAATTATTTTATAAAAACCACTTTTGTATCTTGGTCAATCGGTCTAATACGTGAAAAACGGTCTAAACCGTACGTACGCATTATACGACCTTGGAGACTTGGTTTTTACCAAACAAGTCTTGTTTTCACTATTTAATACCATATACAATATTTTCCAAACCTGGTTTTTACTTTTGGAAACACTTCATTTTTGGACCTCGGTTTTTCAAAACGGGTTTCAACTGGCTAGACTTTAGCTGGGTGATAATCGATTATCACCTTAGTGACAATCGACTATCAGCCACTGCAGCTTTGAACTTCCAAAGTTCTGAAGCACGCAATAATCGATTATAAGTTTTGCAATATTCGATTATCAGTCTTTGATGCCAAAACCCAGAATCTTCTGAGAGGACCAATAATCGATTATCACTTGTTGACAATCGATTATCTGGGTTACCATTGTCCTCCAACGGATAGAATTTTAAATTTTTGGACAAAGAATCTTTGGATAATCGATTATCATGCTTTGACAATCGGCTATCAGCCTGTGTCCCTGAAAAATTTGTCTTCATCCTGTTGGAAATTCTAGCAACGGGTTTATCCCATTTTTGGCTATAAAATGGCACCCAAATCCTCTCATTTGACACACAATTCTTCAACATTTCAATACTCTTTCATTGCATAAGCACTCCTATTTTTTCTTAGCTATTTGAGAGCCAATTCTTGAAAAATTGTCGTGTTCTTGAGCGTTTACTAGTTCACTCATATCTACTCTTTGTGAGAGTTTCATTCCTGAGTGTTTAAGTGTTTTCATACACTTTAAGGGAGGTTGTTCCCTTGTTGTAAACTCGAAGGAAGTTCCTTGTTCCTTCGTGAGAAGTCTTGGAGTGCGGTATCTCTGAGCAAAGCTGTTGAGGCTCGTGTGACTCGGGTTCTCAAGTTGTACCGGTTTGTTAAGCACCCTTAAGCTTAACGGAGTTAGTGTAGCTCGAGAGAGTCTCTCGGGGGGCTAGATTAGCCACACGTTGTGGTGAACCAGGATAAAATCCGGTGTGTTCCTTCCTTACACTCTTTACTTTAATTTTGTTTTAAACGCTATTCACCCCCCCCCCCCTCTAGCGTTGGGCCTTTATTCTATCAGTACCACTCAGCGGTTTCACTGAGCGTGTAGTTTGTATTTTCGTTCACTACACGTAGGTAACAAGAAGATAATGACGAAACAACTCTTGGAGGGCATCAAGTCAGATGAGATGCAAGGATTGCATGCAAATGTTTGATCATCAAGATTTTAAATGTATCATGATTTGATTATTATTATTGTACTTCCGCGTTACTCCAAAAATATTTTTAATGGGTCGCGATCTAGAGTTTGTAAATTTAACATTTATAAGTAATTGTCATTTTCAAATGTCAAGCAAAATTTTTATTTAACTCTGGTTTTACCTTAACACGTGTAATTCCGGGTTATACGGATTAGAGTGTTGCAATAAATTAACCATTGGGTAAACAGTTCTAGACCAAGTCTAGAATTGTTTACTAGATTCGAGAAAATAAGAAGTAGTAAACACAAAGGTTAACGGGGAGGACCGTAGGTGGAAACACATATAGCCCAATTGTTATTAGAATATAGTAAAGTGCACAGGAGCTATTAGAATATATATATATATATATATATATATATATATATATATATATATATATATATATATATATATATATATATATATATATATATATATCTGCCAAGAAAGAGACCACCAAATCGGAAGCTCCAACCATGGCCGCCACCGCCGTTGTGCTCCCCTCATCCAATTGCCATCACCGGACCTAGGGTCGGAACCCTAGGCCGGTGTCGCCGCTGCTCCGATCTCTACTCTGTGTCTGATCTCTCTCCACCCCGTCTCCCTCGATCTGGACGATTTTTGCTTCTTTTATACACAATCCAGCTTTAGTCTTCAATTTTGATTTGGAATAGGAATTACAGTTGGAATGAAAGAAGAACGACTGGGCTCGTCCGTTTCTTGCGCTGCGCGATTACCGTTGTCAAAGTAGGAGTGTCTTATTTTTTCCTGTGCTGCGGTTTCTTTTTTAAAAGCACTTCCTTTATCTCTTTTTTTACTTTTTTTATTTCTTTTATTTTATACTCTAAATATATCTCGAAATATGTGTCCAGGAAAACAATACTTCCAAGTAATTGTCAAATAAAATTGCTCGAAATAATGCATTTTATGTACTCACTCACTCCCACAAAAAAGTTCTAATTTTAACCATAAATTGGTTAAACTGCCTTAAATTAAATATAATCTAAATAAAGAAATATTAAAAAAATTTGAGATATCAAAACTAGATCCTAAGATGAATCCAATTATATAAAATTTATTTCATAATTCAATATACCTTTTTCACAATTTGTAGTCAAAACGTGTAAATATTTGACTAAATACTATTCAAAATGGGAACTTTTTTGTGGGACGGAGGGAGTATAAAATATATATACACTGGCCTAAAATGCCAAATATGAGAAAATATGCATATTTATAAAATATCTTAAACCTTAAACTACTAAGAAATTAGAGAATAAAATATGACATTTTGTGATTTATCATATATATACACTATCATTATATACTACAAATCGAAGCAAACCAAGATAAAATCCCAATGTAATTAAGATTACGAACATCAAATCATATGTGATTTTATGAAAAACAAATTTGAAAGTCTTGAGCAAAAACCCAAAAACAATTGAATCCAATTAGGTTTCATCTAATCGTAGAGGGAGGAATTCCATGAATACCGTGAAACCTAGAAGGAAAGAGGATATTGATGATGGTAGACAATCATAAAAGATCTGCAATAATTGACGATTGTGGTGTATTTACAAGTACTAGTATTTTAACTCGTGTCATACACGGGTGGAATGAAATTGTTTTTTATTGTATAATATCAAATATATGTTATACACCATTTAAATTTCATATATATATATATATAGAAAAAGACTTTCATCAATGAAATGTCTAATAATAACACATCTCAATGCATCATTAAGTGGGAAAAATACCTCTCCAGCAGTCTGTAAAACCTCATATACGGACACATATATCCTCTACAATGATTGGCAAAGTCTGCCTCCCAGTTTGCTAAAAGAGTATACTAGGTCTAACAAAACATGCCTAATTTACAATTGAGCCTGCTCCTGTGAGATATTCTTGGAACTTATGAGAATTTCCTCAGAGATTCTCTTACCGTTAACCTTCTCATGATCATTAATTGGTGGAGAGTCCAGTTCCTCATCACCGTCGGACCATAGGCTTGCTGCTTTACCAAATGCTCTTCTTCCACTTTCTAACCGAAATCTCACTGCATTTCTCCTTTCCCCGAGAACACTTTTCCCTCCATCCTCATGATGAGTTGGCCTGCTCTGAACTGCTTCAACAGAGGGAACAGAGGCTTCCAGCACAGAGTCATGGAATCTTGTAATTGGCTGATTTGATTGTGGCATAAAGGTGTTATCAAAAAGTCTAGCTGGAATGAGAACTTGGGAGACCTCTTTCTCCCAATATTGCAGAGGCGTTGCAAGAAATGGGTTACATTCAGCTACTCTTTTTTCCTCCGCAGCATCTTCACGGCCACTAGCACCCAAATGTTGGCTCAAATTCAGCATAGGCCTTTTCTCAATTCTCCTATCTTCAACCGGCTCGGACATGACAGTCCTGTCATCTATTTCTTTCTTTTCCACCGAATTGAGACTCTCGGGATCTGGAAATGGCTGTAACCAAGCAGGTACATGTTCGGGAGGGTTTTCTCCAGTTTGCACAAAAGTGGGATTTAGTTTATGCTCTTTAACCGCTAGAAACCTGGGAATAGAGCGGGCAAAAGGGATTTCCTCAGTTTCATCCACAAACCGAATGATGTCCTTGAGTACTCCTGAGCTTAAAGCACAGTGATTAACATCAGAGGCACCAGAAAACCCCTGGGAGGAGCCCAAATCCTCCAAGCTTTCAATCACATCAAACAATTTACAATGGCTCCTACCTGCTGAATTTGCACATAAATTGGCATATTTTCCTACATCTTGAATGTACCTGACAGCAACATCGGAAAGAGTGTCCAACGCAGACTGGTGGGTGTTCTGAAACCCTATACCCTCCAATATCTGTGAAACCGCAACTCTAGCAATAGCATGGGCAAATTTGTCTTTCACCCCAACCTTCTTCTTCTTCTTCGATGCCCCACAGTTGTACTGACCCCCTCTTACATTCTCCCTACCTCCATCGCTCATATTCAACACCTCATATCACTTCAATCGAACTAAACCTCCCAAGAGACTACACATCTACCCCCCAAGATTCGCACATTTCGCCAATAAAATCCCAACAACAGCTCAATGTCTGGGCGTTTCAACCTCGAATTGACCGTCTAGAATCAAGCAAGGAATAGGATAAAGGCTGAGAAGTTTGAGAACATACCAGAGATTTTGAAGTGCAGTAGAAAATTCGGAGTAATTAGGGGAAAAATGTTTTTATCAACTCTCCTTCCTTTCCCTTTTGACATTATCAACCGATAACATTTCCCCTTAATCGATGTCGGGATTGTGAAGGATAGAAAAAAAATTGCAAGAGTTTTCTTTTAATAAGAGAACTTCTAACAAAAAGACACAAAGGGACAATATGTTCTAAAAGAGAACCATATTGCCAAACCAACAAAGATATCAATGCACAATTAACATCATCAATTAACAACAATAATTAGCATTATCCAAAGCAATATCGTCATCCACCAAAAGTGTCAAAAAAAACAAGAACAATTAACAATGTATCATAATAAGTCATCACATAAACAACGCCAACAGAATTAAAGAGAATGCGCCGAACGAGCTCCTCCGCTAAAGCTGTGATGCGGACCACGGAAGGAGCGGGATTGCTCAAAACGAGTCATCCTCTCGTTGAGCTGGCGAACGTCATCTCGAATGCTCGTGAGAGTGTCAAAGATCCTCTTCACCTAAGAACGTTCTGGTGCTTCTTCTCTCGGACGAGTCCTGCGTTGGCGGGTGACGTGTTACGAGGTTCGACTACCTCCGGCACGAGATGACTCTGCTTCGTTCTCGCTCTCCTCTTCATCTGCGACTACTAGTTCCAGATTTTGCTCGCCGGTTCTCTCTTTGCGAAAGACAATCCGAGTGAACTTGGTGTCCTTGATGAAACAAGTCTTCTTCACCGGCACCCGAGTGTCCCGAGTAAGATCCACTTTGCAGTGAGCAAGGATATGCATGACAGGGATGGCAAAACGAAGATGTGAAAAGCGAGTACCATCTCTAAGTGCAACGAGAAAGAAGTGAACCCAATCAAATTTGACATTGTTCAACAGGACGTGAAACAATCGAATGTTGTCCTTGTTGACAACGCCATGGTTCGAATCACGGGGCAACAAAACATAATAGAAGATGTATTGCTGGACGCGTTGAATCAAAGTGAGGTTAATGACACTCGGGTTGCTAAAATTTCTAAACTTGAGGTCACGATGATCTAACCCGAGTTGTCTCCAAATTGCCTCATCTTGGAATGTTTCATCCAAGTTGTCGGTAATTTCACCTCTACGAAGGCCAAAGAGAGTGGTCAAACTGGCACCGTCAACGAAAACAGTTTTGCCGTCAACATAGGAGATGAGAGATGGCGAGTCTCCCAAAGTGGTATGAAGATTGGAGTAAAATTGACGTATAAGATTTGGACAAAAGAATTCATACATCAAATGGATGAAATGAAGCAAACCTTGCTGAGAGAAAAGTGACTTGCTCGGGGCATAGGTTGCCGTCTTGGAGAGTTCTTTGTCCACAATCTTCGGTGGAATGATCTCCTTCAGGAGAAAGATGTTGTGGAATCTCTCGACTGATTCTCCAGTGTTGAAGGCGAGACCGGTTTGGATGTGAATGTACTTGCTCCCGTCACAACGCCATGGACAGTCCTCTTCTTCAGCTGCAGATTCTTGACGCGAGGTAGGGTTCTTGCACCTTGGCATCTTTCCTCTTCGAAATTGATGAAATTTGGTGAACAAATGGATGGAATTGATGATGAAAATCGGAGATGAAATTGAAGGAGAAAGCTAGGGGTTCACACGGCTGAGGTTTTATAAAACTGAGATGGCGAAGAAGACAAAAACACGGTCTGACTTTATTAAACAGAACCTCGAATATTAATCAATTTGTACGAATGATTTAATCGATTAGGTTTGCGATGGATATCCATATTGAGACCAATCGACTTCTAATTGATTAGGAAAAAGGAATTAATCGATTAATAAATGAAGCAAAGTCAAAAAAGTTTGCTCTGATGGATTTAATCGATTAAATAGAAGTCAATTAATCAATTACAAGGCATAGACGGGTCTAATCGATTTCCTTTTGAAGAAGTAATCGATTAAAAAAAATTGACAGATAAATTGAAAAGATCATCAGGTTCAATTCAGATTTGATACCAAGGGAAGAGATACCTGAAAGATTTATCGTTCCTCCGACGCTCAAATTAGTAAAGTCAATAAAAGAATGAATTAATTCATAGAGATATCCAAAATTCCAATTTCGTTTCGAATGTGGAAGAAACTCTCCCTACTAAGGGGTTTCGTGAAAATGTCCGCCAATTGATGTTTCGTTTCAACAAACTCAATTGTGACATCTCCCTTTTGGACATGATCTCGCATGAAGTGATGTAACACCCTAATCCGTCCAGGTCTGCAGCCCCTTTCAGATTAAAGTATTAACTTGCTAATCGTAAAAATTTAAAACATTTCAAACACTTTTATTTATCACAATAATATTTTTCATAATATAAACAGTACAGAGTTTTCAATATTGCGGAGGCTTAACAAATCATAATACAAACATAATTTATTTATGTTCTTTAATTCAAAACCATCACATCCATTCCGACAATCTCGCCTCCGTCTGCCTCCAGGATCACGTCACTTCATTCTTTCTATTAACCTACGTGTAGCAAATAAAACATACTACACGCTCAGCGTTGAAGCTGAGTAATGTGTCGAACATCCATATAAACTGAATCTAAATTCATAATCAAATCATTTGATATCATGCACATAATGTTCAGTTCAGATATTCAATAATGATTAGTCAGTATTCATCATTCATTATTCAACAATTATATTTATATTCGACGTTCATCGGTTATTTATAATATTCACAATATTCAATTCAATAATCATCATTCAATATTCATTCATATTCAATATTCAACATTCGACAATATCCTTAAACTATTCTTAGTTTAAGGCCAATCACTTTAAAATTTGTCAACCCTTAAACGAATTATAGTTTAATAATTAAACTATATTCCAGTATAAAATATTCCTAAATAATTCTTAAGCTAGGCCTAGTTTAAGATAAAAGGGTTTTGAAAATCTTAAACTTAACTTCACTTAAGGCCAACCAAAAACCGACAGCGTAGTGTTCACTGTTGGGTGGGTGGTACCCCCAAACGAGTAGGTACTCAAGTTTGGTTCTTGGATCCCATACGTACGTTTTAACCCTAGCCACCGGGCATCATACCCGCAAGGCCTAACTTATATAGGTATATCTTAGAGTTCTTCTAGATACCTTTCGAATCAACATTAGCATGGGTATATCTTAGAGGTCTTCTAGATACCCTTAACAATACATATTATTTTCACAATCATCAATATATTCATTATGATTTAATCATTCATAATTACTATATTTAATGAGAACATTTATCAAGATTTAATCATCATAATCATCAATCAATATTCATTACCATAATCATTAATCAACATAGTATTCAATAACAATTAGCGGCCTAGCTTCAGGTGTTAACACCCTAACTCACCGTCAGGCATCACGTAATGTTTTTATTTGTTAAAAACATCATTTTTATTATGGTACATCATTTTTCCAATGAACATAATCAATTGGTGGATTTTAGAGCATATATTTTTAGAATATTTTCGGAACAGGATCTGGACTTGAGAAAAATTGATTTTTATTTTTAAAATAATCAATTAATACCTAAAAATAGATTTTTATATTTAAAATAATCCATTAATATCTAAAAATCTATTTTTATATTTTAAATAATCAATTAATTGCTAAAAATCGATTTTTATACTTTAAATAATCAATTAATACTTAAAATCAATTTTTAGTTATTATATAATCGATTAATACAATTAAATCGATTTTTATAGTTAGAGTAATCGATTATGTATATTTTTTTTAATATAGTGACTTCGAACAACAAATTTTTAATCGATTATTAGGAAGGAAATAATCGATTTTCGGCCACTTTTCATCATCTTCTTCCTCTGTTCAATTTTTAACATTATCATTTTTAATTACCAAACTTCAATTAAATTATATAGGATTGTTCTCCAATGTTCACAGATCATTTTAGAGTCATTAATTCGTAGTTTTAACAACAATTTCTTGGTTTATGATTCTTGGTTCTTCAAACATGTCAAACACAAAACTCAACCAAACGATCGTTTATGAACGTAAAAACAATCTATACGAACATTCTAGTCACTAGATATATCTATGGGCTTACCTCGAAGCTTATCGAAGGTTTTGAGAATTTTCCGGCGAAACTTCCGGCGATGATAACTCCCAACTCCGGCGACTTCGGTGGCCACCAACTACTGCAGCATGTTCTCCTCACTCTAAGGAACACTTTGGTACTAAACTCATTAGTTTTTGGTGAGGAATGAGAGGGTTGATGGTGGCCTTATATAGGAAGAGAATGGGGAAGGTGACAACATTTGCTGTGTAGGATTTGCGTAGGAATGCATCCTGATCGGCTGAGTGGAGTAGGAGGCGCCGTCCTTGATTGGGACTAATTTTGGTTCAAGTCGGGGTACACTTTTTGGTACAACTTTCTCCGAATTGAAATCCGTTTGCACCGTTGCGATCGTGCAATTAAACTCTATCCAACGATATAATTTTTATATTTATTCGTTATACTTTTTCCGACATCATATTTTTGGGTGGTTGACTTTGACAGAGTCAAAATTGGTTTAATTGACCTGTATTCAAAAAGGTTCTCACATTTAATTCATATTATTTATTTCCATGATTTATTTCAATAAATCATTTCGAAGTTCACATTATAAACAATTTCTTCATTTATTCTTAATTTGGGTCTGTACTCAGGTTCTCAATCAAGATCACACAATAAATCAACATGTTGGATTTATCTCTATGAGATTTATCCCAATTATGTTTATTGGATATCAATATATATTTTATTCAAGCCCAAAGCCCAACAACAATTTATTTTAATCAAAACAAATTTTGAATATTTAATTCAATAAATTTTAGGGTATATTTTGGGGCGTTACAAGTGATGCCTAGTTTCTATGTGTTTAGTCCGTGAGTGAAGAATGGGGTTCTTCGTTAGACTAATAGCGCTCATATGGTCACTCCTAATTGGGATGTGATCAAGTATAAGGCTGAAATCCACTAGTTGTTGTTTTAGCCAAAGAATTTGGGCACAACAACTTCCCGCAGCGACATATTCTGCTTCGGTGGTGGAAAGTGCAACACTAACCTGTTTCTTACTAAACCACGAGATTAACGAATGACCGAACAAGTGGCAAGTACCGCTGGTACTTTTCCTATCGAGTTTGCAACCTGCAAAATCTGAGTCGGAATAGCCAACAATGTGCCCGCAAGATATCGCATTATCCTTTGATCGCAACCAAGTGTGACTCTTTAGGACATGTTGATACCTAGCGCATATACAAACTAGGGGTGAGCAATTTATCCAAACCGACCGATTAACCGATTCAATTTAACCGAACCGACTGCAATTTTAAATTCAGTTTTCGGTTTTAATAGTTAAAATATTTGGTTAATTCGGGTTATTGGTTTCGGTTTCGGTTCTAGGCCTTGTTAACCGAAACCGACCGAATAACCGAGCCCATATATGTTTATTAAATACATCTAAGCCCAACCCAAATATTTTCAGTTACAGCCCAGTCCATTACTTTAAAATCCCAAAGTGGGTAGGTCACTAGTCATTACCTCACCATCTCCGTCATTAGTCTTCCAACCCAAATATTTTACAGAGAAAGTTACAACCTCGACTCCATTGTCTCCTACCTCAAGACCTGGACTCCTTACATCGTCCGCCGCCCGTCTCCTTCCTCAAAACCTCGACTTAATCATTTCCGGATCTACCTCACCTTCTCCGTCGGTTGTAAACTCCTGTGCCGATTGCCTGGTTTTCGATTTTGTGTGGTGTATGTGTCCGCCAATATGTGGTCCGTGTTCTAATTGTTTATCTTCTTCTCGTTGGAATAAGATAATATGCTTCTATTCTTGCAGCATATAGTATGCAGTAGGTTTTAACCTTTTAGGGATGAAGCTTTTGGTTTTTTCAAACCAGCCGAACCCATCGGTTTTCCTCGGTTCGGTTTGTTCGGTTTTAAAACTAATTCGGTTCGGTTTTGGTCGGTTATTCTGAGTAATTTCTATATTCGGTTACTTCGGTTTTGGGGCGAAACCGACCGAACCAAACTGATGCTCTCCCCTAATACAAACGGAGTACATGATATCCGGTCTACTCGCGGTAAGGTAAAGTAAAGAGGCTATCATACCTCGGTAGCGCTTTATATGTACCTCTTTACCTTTTTCATCCTTGTCGAGATAGCAAGAGGTGCTTATTGGCGTGTCAATGGATTTGGATTCGGTAACGTCGAATCTCTTGAGCAATTCCCTGCAATATTTCGTTTGACACACGAATGTTCCTTCTTTGCATTGTCTAATTTGCAGCCCAAGGAAGAATTTCAATTCTCCCATCTTCGACATTTCAAATTCGCGTTGCATCATATCGGAAAAATCCCTGCACAAAACTTCGTTAGTAGCACCGAATATGATATCATCTACGTAAACTTGAACCAAAAGGATGTCTTTGTTATCTTTCTTGATGAAAAGAGTAGTATCAACTTGACCCCGTTTGAACTCATGGTCCAAAAGAAATTTGCTTAACCGTTCATACCAAGCACGAGGTGCTTGTTTGAGACCGTAAAGTGCCTTTTTGAGTGTAAAGACATGTTCGGGAAACTCATAGTCTTCGAACCCCAGGGGTTGTTCGACATACCTTTCCTCTTGAGTGTAAAGGAAGGCACTTTTAACACCCATTTGATCAAGTTTAAAATCCATCATAGATGAAAATGCAAGTAATAAACGAATAGCTTCTAAACGTGCAACCGGTGAATAAGTATCTTCATAATCAATGCCTTCTTCTTGATTGTAGCCTTTAGCTACAAGCCTAGCTTTGTTTCTAGTGACTACTCCATTTTCATCGAGTTTTGTTAGAATAAGAGACTAACGCTAGAGGGGGGGTGAATAGCGTTTGATCAAAAATCGCAGGAATAAAAAGATGAATAAATGAGAAGTAAAGAAAAGAGTAAGAGGCACACCGATTTTACCCTGGTTCACCACAACTTGTGGCTAATCCAGCCTCCCGAGAGACTCTCTCGAGCTACACTACTACCTCGTTAAGCTTAACGGTGCTTAACAAACCCGTACAACTTGAGAATTCGAGTCACACGAACCTCAATGAACCTTCGAAAGAAACAACCCTTCCTTCGAACAACAAGAGAAATACCTTCTCTTGTCAAGTGTTTAAGAACACTAAAAACACTCAAGAACAATACTCTCTTTTAGAGTGGATAATGAGTAAACTAAGAACGCTCAAGAACACAACACAAGCTTCACAAAAAATGGCTCTCAAAAGTTATGAATAATTGAAGAATGATTTGCAATGAAAGAGTAGGAGTTGTGAAGTAATGTGATGTGTAAAACAGACCCAAACACCCCATTTTATAGTAGAAAAATAGGCTCCAACGGACCAAAGTATTTAAGGGGTGATTGGCAGAATTTATGGGATTTGATGAAAATTGGATCTGTTGAAATTCACCCAGACAGCGCTGTCCTAGGCTTGGACATCGCTGTTCTAGGCTTGCGTTTTGAAAAATGGGAAGCAACGGTCATGCCAACAGCGATGTCTAAAATCCCTACATCGCTGTTTTGGCTGTTGACTTCCAAACAAGGAAAGTTTTAGCCTTAAATTCCTTCCAACGGTCAGGTCTCTACATCGATGTTCCATACTAGAACATCGCTGTTTAGGTCTGCCTTTGAAGATGGAAGTTTGGCCTGACAGCGCTGTTTCTGGGTCAACATCGCTGTCCAAAAACTTTCTGCCAATGCACAATATNTGGGATTTGATGAAAATTGGATCTGTTGAAATTCACCCAGACAGCGCTGTCCTAGGCTTGGACATCGCTGTTCTAGGCTTGCGTTTTGAAAAATGGGAAGCAACGGTCATGCCAACAGCGATGTCTAAAATCCCTACATCGCTGTTTTGGCTGTTGACTTCCAAACAAGGAAAGTTTTAGCCTTAAATTCCTTCCAACGGTCAGGTCTCTACATCGATGTTCCATACTAGAACATCGCTGTTTAGGTATGCCTTTGAAGATGGAAGTTTGGCATGACAGCGCTGTTTCTGGGTCAACATCACTGTCCAAAAACTTTCTGCCAATGCACAATATCTTTGGCTTAGGTTGGACAGCGCTGTAGGGAAGCCTACATCGCTGTTCCAGAAGTTTCTGGAAATCCAACCTTGGCTCAACAGCGATGTCTAATGTCCAACATCGCTGTTGGAGGCCTTAACGCCAAACCATGTTTTTAGCTACCCAAGCCAGACAGCGATGTTGGTTACCTCAACATCGCTGTTGGGCTGGTTTAGCCAGACCCATGGTTGGTTTAGTCACGCCGTTAGCCGATGTCAAAAGTGTAAGTTCTCCAAAATAAAAACCAGGTATTGAAAATGTTTGTTTTTAATGCATTTTGCTAAGAAATCAAGTAAAACATTTTGAAAACCATGTCATTTAGTTGAAAACCACGGCTAGCCAAGTTTACGCCATTTCGCATGGTTTTCACTAAACGACCAAAAACGAAAGGTGGTTTTTGAAGCGTTTTTGTTGGAGAACTATTTAAATATGCCCAGAAGTAAAAAACAGTCATAAAAAGTTGAAAACCATTTGGTTGGTTGGGACGCCAAAAACCAATGCCGAAAACCGAGAGCCAAACGCCGATTTCTGAAAACCGAACGCCGGATGGCATGGTTTTTGGTTTGGGCGAACTCCAAGTGTTTTCAGGCAGGTTTAAGACTTAAGAAAATCATTTTGAATAGGCAAAAAATATTTTGATGAAATGAGCCTAGAGAGCCATGTTTTGAATGTTTGTGCCGGTCTTGATCACATTAAAACCGACTCAATACAATTCTAAGTCTTCGTTCTTGATTCTTGGTTCTTGGTTCTGAGTTCATCCTGCTATGTTCCTTCGCCTTTGTTTTGCTCAGTTTAACCTTGTTATTGTCACGGCGGTTTGGCATTATCAAAACCTGTTATAAAACGAACACGGCTTAGTACGACATAGGCGTAAACCCGTGTTCCAAAAATTTCCCCCTTTTTGATAATGGCAAACAAGACGGGGATATGCATATCAAGGGATATTTGATTTTCAAAATGTTGTGAAAAATTTCCCCCTTAATTTGTGCTTAAAAGTAATTAGTCGGATTAAAATCAAACGGTCTCGTTTTTAGAGGCATTCCCCCTTAGTATATGCATAGCCCTTTTCTTCCCCCTTTTGACATTAACAAAAAGATAAAAGATAACTTTTATTTATTGAAGATGGGAAATAGCGGAGTACAACGGAAGCATTAAGAGACATGATAATTTAAAATAAAAGAGAGAAATTCTAGGGGCGGCCTAGTCTTCGTCTTCGGTTTCCTCCACGTCGTCGTCGACGTCCATCTCATCACCGTCAACGGCGTCGTCGAACTCGTCCTCGTCCGGGGAGCTTGACAGGGCGTAGGAGCCATCCTCTTCGTCCTTGTCACCGTACACTTGCCCAAAGAACGTGCCATGGTACGGTGGGGGGACGTAGTTTACGCGTTGGAAGTATGCGTTCATGGCGTGCCCTTGGCGTTGAACAGCCTTGTCGAGCCGCTCAAGGTAGCCATCCATCCCATCAACTTTGAAGTGAAGCCGGTTGAGGGAGTCGGCGATGGAGGCAAGGTTGGCCCGGGCCTGGGCTTCGGCTGGGCCAGCAGCAGAACGGCGCCGGTGCACGGCAGTGGTAGGTCCGGCGTTGTCCGACCGTTTCTTGAAGGTTTGGGTGCTGATCGTCCAAATCTTCGTGGCCTTTGTGAGTGGGCCAACGGTGGTGGTCACCTTGAACCATTCAAGGATGTCCATCACCACGAACGGGTACGGGAGGAGGTGATCGTGGTCGGTGGATGCGGCAATCGTCATGTTGAGCATGACAAACTTTGCCCAATTGATTGGGGCCGAGTGCATGATCGCATGGATGAGCTTGAGATCTTCACCGGACATGATGGTGTGGCCGTGCTTCCTGGGTTTGATGATCCGGGAGACGATGTAGAGAAGAAGACGGCCTTCGGGGTTAGCGGAGTGGATGGTTGGGCGGCCCGAGGCATGGCGGATGAGCTCGATGATCCCAAGCTCGTTGAGGATAAGGCCCTCGTTGTTGAGCACCCAGTCCTCTCCGCCATAGCGGGAGACGTCGTCGCCTTGGTAGGGGAGGCCGGCGATGCGCCCAAGCTACTCAATTGAAAGTTCTATCGGCGTGCTCTTGACCAGAGAATAGAGGACGTCGCCCTCACGCCGGAGGTTGGAGTAGAAGACCCGAATCAGCGCCGGGTTGATCTCCTTCCGAGCCTGGGAGACGAAAGGCCAAAGGCCGGCCTGATGAAGCTGCGCGTCGAGGTCGTCGTAGCCCTGCAGCTCCGGGTAGCGCTCCGGGATGATCTGTGGAGGAGCCACAACCCGTTTAGAGAAGAAGGTGAGGAAACGGGTGTGTTCCTCCTCGGAATCAAACCAAAGGTATGACCCGTTACCATAGTAGAGGCGTTCCTCGGTGGATGTCGTAGGCGCCCGGGATTTGGCCTTGCATTTGCCGAAAGCTCCTGCCCTGTTCTTATCTTTGCCCATGATGAAGAAATCTCAAGAGAAGAGAGTAAAAATGATGAAATAAGCAAGGATGTGGAAGAGAATTGTGTTTGTGTGTGTAAAAGTGAAGAGAGGAGGTCCCAATTTATAGAGAAAGAGGTCTCCAACGTCCAGATTTTCAAAAATGTGGCTGTTGGATCAATTAATGCTGGTGCCAATGGATATTTTTTTGAAAAATTTATCCAGAACAGCGATGTTCCAAAGGCTACATCGCTGTTGGGACAACGCTGTTGAGCCTCTGGATAGCGCTGTTATGCGTCAAGTTTTAAAAACAAGTGTTAAAAGGACAGCGATGTTGGGTTCCCTTCAGCGATGTTCCAAATCATTCTGGAATTGTGTAAGGGGTTGAACCCATTAGAACAGCACTGTTGGGTTTCTCTACATCGCTGTTTTACGATAGAAAAAAAATTTATAAAAGTGGACATCGATGTTGAAAGTGGGACAGCGCTGTTTAAAAAGTTTCAGGTTTTGGTTGAAAACAAGGTGTTTTGGGTTGGAACAGCGATGTTCAAAAAGTTTCTGGAAAGTGAAGAGTAAGGGACTCCCTCGGACAGCGCTGTTGGCGTGTTGTACAGCGCTGTTGGCACAAACTGGTTGACGGTGTTTCTCTCAACAGCGCTATTTGGTCTCCTCGACATCGCTGTTTGCATGGTTCCCCTGATTTCATGAACGGGGTACCTGCAAAAAAAGAGAAAAGTTCTCCGACGCTCAAGTTAGTAAGCGTTTAATAAGTTTAGATGTATAACTTAGATCATCGTGGAGTCAAGGATTCCGAGTTCACTTCGAATGCGGAAGAACGACTCTTTCTCTAAAGGTTTTGTGAAAATGTCGGCTAATTGGTTGTGTGTTTCAACAAACTCAATTTCGACATCACCTTTGAGAACATGATCTCTAATGAAATGATGCCTAATGTCAATGTGTTTCGTCCTTGAGTGAAGAACGGGGTTCTTAGTCAAGCTTATGGCGCTAGTATTATCACAACGAAGAGGGACGTGATTGATACTAAGGCCATAGTCCACGAGTTGTTGCTTCATCCAAAGAATTTGAGCACAACAACTACCGGCNATAACTTAGATCATCGTGGAGTCAAGGATTCCGAGTTCACTTCGAATGCGGAAGAACGACTCTTTCTCTAAAGGTTTTGTGAAAATGTCGGCTAATTGGTTGTGTGTTTCAACAAACTCAATTTCGACATCACCTTTGAGAACATGATCTCTAATGAAATGATGCCTAATGTCAATGTGTTTCGTCCTTGAGTGAAGAACGGGGTTCTTAGTCAAGCTTATGGCGCTAGTATTATCACAACGAAGAGGGACGTGATTGATACTAAGGCCATAGTCCACGAGTTGTTGCTTCATCCAAAGAATTTGAGCACAACAACTACCGGCTGCTACATATTCCGCTTCGGTTGTGGATAATGCAACACTGACTTGCTTTTTACTAAACCATGAGACTAGAGAGCTACCAAGTAGGTGGAAAGTCCCACTCGTACTTTTACGGTCTAATTTGCAACCGGCAAAGTCCGAGTCGGAATAACCCACGAGATGACAAGAAGAGCCTTTTGGATACCACAGTCCAACGTTTACCGTGCTGGCAAGATATTTCATAATCCGTTTTACCGCCGTTAAGTGCGATTCCTTCGGACATGATTGATACCTTGCGCAAAGGCAAACGCTAAACATGATATCCGGCCTACTAGCAGTAAGATAAAGAAGGGATCCGATCATACCTCGATACTTTTTGACCTCTACTTCCTTACCTTTCTCATCTTTGTCAAGATGATCAAACGTGCTCATCGGAGTCGCCATGGCTTTGGCGCTGTCCATTTCAAACCGTTTTAGGAGCTCCTTGCAGTATTTAGTTTGGCAAATGAACGTGCCATCTTTCATTTGCTTAACTTGGAGTCCCAAAAAGAATGTGAGCTCGCCCATCATTGACATTTCAAATTCTCTAGTCATTAGCGTTGAGAATTCCTTGCACAAAGACTCGTTAGTAGCACCGAATATAATGTCGTCTACATAAACCTGAACCAAAAGGATGTTATTGTTTTTACTCTTGATGAAAAGTCTGGTGTCTACCTTTCCCCTTTGGAAACCACTATCCAAAAGAAATTTACTCAAACGTTCGTACCAAGCACGTGGTGCTTGTTTAAGACCGTAGAGCGCTTTCTTGAGTTTGAAGACGTGATCGGGAAACTCAAAGTCCTCAAATCCCGGGGGCTGGTCAACATACACTTCCTCTTGAATAAAACCATTGAGGAAGGCACTCTTAACATCCATTTGATAAAGTTTAAAATCCATAGACGAACCCAAAAGCAAGAAGTAAACGAATAGCTTGTAAACGTGCTACAGGTGCATACGTTTCTTCAAAATCAATGCCTTCTTCTTGATTGTAGCCTTTAGCTACGAGCCTAGCTTTGTTTCTAGTGATTATTCCATTTTCATCAAGTTTGTTACGGAACACCCATTTCGTACTCTTGGGTGAGAAAATCGATCTTGGCTTCGCGAACTTGATCGGTACCTTTGTACGTCACTTCAAGCTTGTCCCACATCTCCTTGGCGGTTGTGCAACATGAGATCTTTCGGTAGTCATCGGGGTTGACCGCGCAATATAGCATATTGATGGCCTTTGCATAGTTTTCAATCTTCTTGATGTCCTCGACATCAAATTTGTTTTCGGTCTTTGGGACCGTGGTTTCTCCCACTTTCTTCATAGGGATTTCTTTGCCATTTTTGATCACCAACCACAATTGGAAGTTGGTGGAACGAATATAGATTCTCATCCGTTCCTTCCAATAAGAGTAGTTGGTGCCATCAAAGAGTGGTGGCCTAGAAGTTGATTGACCTTCTCCAATTCCTGCATAGAGATTTCTAGAAGAAGAGCCCATGATCGCTTTACTCTCAAACGGTTAAGTTTGGACGCGAGTTAGGCTCCGATACCAATTGTTAGAATAAGAGACTAACGCTAGAGGGGGGTGAATAGCGTTTGATCAAAAATCGCAGGAATAAAAAGATGAATAAATGAGAAGTAAAGAAAAGAATAAGAGGCACACCGATTTTACCCTGGTTCACCACAACTTGTGGCTAATCCAGCCTCCCGAGAGACTCTCTCGAGCTACACTACTACCTCGTTTAGCTTAACGGTGCATAACAAACCCGTACAATTTGAGAATTCGAGTCACACGAACCTCAACAAACCTTCGAAGGAAACAGCCCTTCCTTCGAACAACAAGAGAAATACCTTCTCTTGTCAAGTGTTTAAGAACACTAAAAACACTCAAGAACAATACTCTCTTTTAGAGTGGATAATGAGTAAATTAAGAAAGCTCAAGAACACAACACAAGCTTCACAAAAAATGGCTCTCAAAAGCTATGAATAATTGAAGAATGATTTGCAATGAAAGAGTAGGAGTTGTGAAGTAATGTGATGTGTAAAACAGACCCAAACACCCCATTTTATAGTAGAAAAATAGGCTCCAACGGACCAAAGTATTTAAGGGGTGATTGGCAGAATTTATGGGATTTGATGAAAATTGGATCTGTTGAAATTCACCCAGACAGCGCTGTCCTAGGCTTAGACATCGCTATTCTAGGCTTGCGTTTTGAAAAATGGGAAGCAACGGTCATGCCAACAGCGATGTCTAAAATCCCTACATCGCTGTTTTGGTTGTTGACTTCCAAACAAGGAAAGTTTTAGCCTTAAATTCCTTCCAACGGTCAGGTCTCTACATCGATGTTCCATACTAGAACATCGCTGTTTAGGTCTGCCTTTGAAGATGGAAGTTTGGCCTGACAGCGCTGTTTCTAGTTCAACAGCGCTGTCCAAAAACTTTCTGCCAATGCACAATATCTTTGGCTTAGGTTGGACAACGCTGTAGGGAAGCCTACATCGCTGTTCCAGAAGTTTCTGGAAATCCAACCTTGGCTCAACAGCGATGTCTAATGTCCAACATCGCTGTTGGAGGACTTAACGCCAAACCATGTTTTTAGCTACCCAAGCCAGACAGCGCTGTTGGTTACCTCAACATCACTGTTGGGCTGGTTTAGCCAGACCCATGGTTGGTTTAGTCACGCCGTTAGCCGATGTTAAAAATATAAGTTCTCCAAAATAAAAACCAAGTATTGAAAATGTTTGTTTAATGCATTTTGCTAAGAAATCAAGTAAAAGATTTTGAAAACCACGTCATTTAGTTGAAAACCACGGCTAGCCAAGTTTACGCCGTTTCTCATGGTTTTCACTAAACGACCAAAAACGAAAGGTGGTTTTTGAAGCGTTTTTGTTGGAGAACTATTTAAATATGCACAGAAGTAAAAACCAGTCATAAAAAGTTGAAAACCATTTGGTTGGTTGGGGCGCCAAAAACCAATGCCGAAAACCAAGAGCTGAACGCCGATTTATGAAAACCGAACGCCGGATGGCATGGTTTTTGGTTTGGGCGAACTCCAAGTGTTTTCAGGCAGGTTTAAGACTTAAGAAAATCATTTTGAATATGCAAAAAATATTTTGATGAAATGAGCCTAGAGAGCCATGTTTTGAATGTTTGTGCGGTCTTGATCACATTAAAACCGACTCAATACAATTCTAAGTCTTCGTTCTTGATTCTTGATTCTTGATTCTTGGTTCTCAGTTCTCAGTTAACCTTGTTATTGTCACGGCGGTTTGGCATTATTAAAACCTGTTATAAAACGATACGGCTTAGTACGACATAGGCGTAAACCCGTGTTCCAACAAGTTTGTTACGACACACCCATTTTGTGCCAATAACGGAATGATCATTAGGTCTAGGCACCAATTCCCAAACATCATTGTGTTTAAATTGGTTAAGCTCTTCTTGCATTGCCATAGACCAATGTTCATCATTAATAGCATCCAAAAGGGTTGTTGGTTCAATTTGTGAAACAAAGGCCATGTGATTAATTGTGTTCCTAAGAGAATTATGAGTAGAAACTCCCTGTGTTATGTCACCAATGACATTGTCAATAGGGTGATTCTTGAACGTTCTCCACTCCTTAGGAAGCTCCGTTTGCTCCTGCGTTTTCTCTTCTTTCGGTTCATTTTCCTTAACGGTTTCTTCATCATCATCATAAGAACCTACAACATTATCAACAATACCTTTTCTCGCCAAGCGAGCATCAAGTTCATCGAAGACAACATGAATAGACTCCTCTACGGTCTTAGTACGCTTGTTGAACACTCTATATGCCTTATTACGAAGAGAATAACCTAAGAAAATTCCTTCATCCGACTTAGCATCGAATTTTCCCAAGTTATCTTTTCCATTATTGTGAGTAAAAACTTTACATCCAAAGACATGAAAATAGGAAAGGTTAGGCTTTCTTCCTATGTAAAGTTCATAGGGCGTTTTCTTGAGTATCGGTCTAATGACGGCTCAGTTTAGCATGTAGCACGCGGTACTCACGGCATCCGCCCAAAAATATTTAGGAAGATTTGCCTCATTGAGCATAGTTCTAGCCATCTCTTCAAGAGACCTCTTTTTCCGTTCAACCACGCCATTTTGTTGTGGTGTACGGGGGGCTGAGAAATTATGCTCAATGCTTAATTCGTTACAAACGACATCAAAGCCGTCTTGATCAAATTCTCCCCCATGATCAGTTCTAATGGATGCAATGTGAGAATCTTTTTCATTTTGAACCAATTTAATGAATTTCTTAAAAGCATTAAGTGCATCATACATATGAACTAGAAAGAGTGTCCATGTAAACCTCGAATAGTCATCAACGATAACAAAGCCAAAGTAATTACCTCCTAAACTCATAGTTCTTGAAGGTCCAAAAAGGTCCATGTGCAAAAGTTATAATGACCTAGTCGTAGAAACAACATTCTTTGACTTAAACGAGGCCCTTACTTGCTTCCCCTTTTGACATGCATCACAAATTAGATTCCTCTCAAACATAAGTTTAGGAACACCAATTACTAAGTCTTTAGAAACCAACCTATTAAGATGGTTCATATTAACGTGAGCTATCCGACGATGCCATAGCCACGTTTCTTCCTCTTTGGTAATGAGGCACTTAGCTAAGATAGACGGGGAATTTTCAAGATCAAACATGTAAATGTTATCTACTCTACTACCACAAAGAATAGTCTTATTGCCACACAAGTGTTCTACAATGCATTTACTAGAATCAACGATGACACGATTACCTCTATCGCACAATTGGCTAATGCTAAGAAGATTGTGCTTGAGGCCCTCAACAAGAAGAACATTCTCAACGGTTGTAGCATTGTCTCTCCCGACGGTGCCACTTCCAATGATCCTTCATTTGTTGTTGTCGCCAAAAATGACATTGCCACCTTTGAAATATTCTAAATTCCTAAATTTGGATGCGTCTCCGGTCATGTACTTGGAGCATCCGCTATTGAGATACCAAGAGGTACTCGAAGCCTTCAAACACACCTACAAAAAGATATCAAGGAGACGGTTTAGGTACCCATGTATTGTTGGGTCCTTTTTGGTTAGCATATGTGCGATGTGTGTGCGTTTGTTGGAAATGCCTAAGTTTGGTGAAGCACACGGGTGCAATGTGACCTATATCTTGTTGCAATAATGACAAAAAACATTCGGGTTGTTTTTTCTATACGATTGTGTGAATTGCATTCTAGGTTTGCTAGGTGGTGCTCTTCTATTTTGATTATTAGTCCTAGCCATTTTATTTCCTTTAGGCTTAACAAAAGGTGTTTTTCTCGGTGCGTTTTTCTTATATCCAAGTCCTTCACCATTACTAACTTTTTGCTTAAGTATTTTATCTAAGATGTTTGAAGCATTATTAAACTTTCCCAATTTGCTCTCTAAATTAGCAACTTTAGCTTTTAATGATGTACAACTAGAGCAAGTAGTAGGAGAAGTAGTTGAAGGTTCTTGTGGCCTTTTTCCAAAAGAGATAATTTCTTGTTTAAGTTTATCATTTATATTTTTGAGTTCTTTGACATCATTCTCAAAAATCAGGATTTTTTGCTTTACTTCATTATTTTCTTTGGAAGCTTTTTTGAACATTCCTACTAGTTCCTCTACAATGCAAACTACATCATTAAGAGTGATCATTGGGAGAAGGTTATTGATCACTTACCTCTTTTGATGTTTCTCCATCTTCAATGGCCATGAGACATAAGTTGGCCACTTTCTCCGTTTCCGAGTCTTCACTCCCGGAGCCGTCATTCTCCCAAGAAATGTAGGCACGTTGCTTCTTCGGTGCCCTCTTGTCCTTCTGGTTTTTGAGCTTCGGACACACGGGTTTGATCTGTCCACACTACTACACGATTAGGTTTTCCCATCGCCATTTAGGCAGCGGATTTATAAATTCAGCTGTGCAAAATGTTAAGAATCCTCAATTCACTATCTGCCCAAAAAATTTAATTTATTTTATGGAGCGAATAGTTAGAAATCCGCTGGGAAAACTTTTCTTCCATACTCCGCCTAAAAATATGTTTAGGGTTGAGGGGGAGGCATTTCTTCTCAGAACTACATCTACGTTGGACACAATTGCTTCCCGCCGAGCATTTTCAGGTTTCTACAATTGATTTTCTCCTTGGTCTTTGTCATTTCTTCTCAGAACGAATTCAGGACCATGATAGATCGACATCCATATGCGTATTTCAACAAGTGGGGATTATATCAGATCAGACTCTTTGTAAAACAGGTTTTCTATTAATCTATTCAATTCAAAAGGTATAATTTTCAATCCAAAATAAAATCTCTATTCTCGGTTCACAGACCTAAAATGGAATCCCTTGATCATGCCTTTGTCTATAAATTCTAGTCTTTGGCGTAACAGTACCATTTTGGACATTTTCTTTTTTGAAAATTAGTCTCTAGCACTATATGAATCGGAATCTTTTCCATTTGTTTTGTGTTTTAGTTTAGTCTTTTATAAAATATTTTGTTAGGCTCTTTGCCAGTTCCAACTCCTCCCCTAGTCCTTAGGTATTTGTGTCTTTTTGAGTTTTTAGTACTCCATATGTTGTTTAGTAGTCTGAGTACGTTTTAAGTCAGTATTAGTCTTGACTCTTGATTTGAGTCTAAAAGTTCTTCACTAAATTTAGGCACAAAATTAAAGTCTACTTTCTATGAGTTCTCTAATCCCTTCCTTTCAGTTTCTTTGTGCACCAAAGTGCCAAATTTAGGAAAATCTAAGCATATTTGTTGTTTCAAAGCTATTTAAACTAGAACCCCATTCTTTAATTACCTATAAAAAGTAGGGAAAACATCTATCAAACCTGTTTTTAAATTGTATTTAAAAATATATTTTATAAATTGGAAACCCAAGAAAACATAATAAAAATACCAAATTGGGAGTAGAGATGAAAATATGCTTCCAGGTTGATTTTATGATTTGTTGACCAAATTACAAATCAATTCTATGAACTACATTGTACATTTTACAACCAATATACTTTATCTAGACATGTGAGGTGTATTTAAAAAAGGTTCATATTTCTTCTTGTTTGTGGCTTTTATTTTGGATCAATTTAGGCCCATGAGGCTTTCTTAATAAGTTACTAAGTCTATTGTTTGGTCTAGACTTATTGTTTTTTGTGGTAAAATGGTGTGTATGTTATATTTCAAATATGTTGAAATCTGTTTTGACATATCAAATGTCGTAGTGTGATACACGACCTATTTACATTAGAATAATACAACAAAGTAGTCTTTTCTGTATCACTTTTCCATGTATATATTGCTTTTTCTATATTAATATGACCTAGTGCTGCTTATCCGTCTTCCAAACTGTTAATCAAGTGCTAGGCGAGCATCATCTATCTTGACGAAGTTATGTGTACTCCGTATATCATACTCAATTAGAGGATTTGTATTTGATGAGCCAAAATTGTTCATGCTATGTTGCTGGCTGAAATACTTTCTGGTTAGCACAAATATGTTTATACTTTGAGCTCTTTTTTTACATTTGAGTTGTATACTTCATATGGAGAAATTGAAATCTCAGCAGTTTGTAGAAAAAGCCTAATGAGAAGTATCTTGATATCTTGGGGTTTTCCAGTAGCTTTGACTATAATTTTTCTTTTTCTTTTTTGCATATAACTTTTTCAATCTATTGTGCCTTCAAATTGTCTAACTAGGATTGGTCAGGAGATACAATGATTGCTTTTCACACTAATGAAGGGGAATTCAGATTCAAAGGCTAGCTTCAACCTTCAAGGTAATGTTACCATCTATATTCCAACAAAAGGCTTAATTAGCTGTGAGAATTTCAAAGTGGCCTTCCTCTGAACAATAAATTCTATGGTTCATTGGCTTCCAAAAAGGCATAAACAAATGAGGTATCAATGATAACCAAAGGAAATGAATGTGACAGGCTTCCTCTTGTGTCACCACTACAAAGTTGCATTGTATCAAGAAATGATTAAATACTCTGCGTTAGAGAACCTCAATGGTTCCTATTTTTTGTTTTTGACATACTCAATGGTTATTATTAAAATGAAACACTTATACCTATTTGGTCCTTTATTGAATCTGTATTATGTCTGGTTCTGAAAAGGTTGACTAACTCATATTTCAATTGCCTATGTAGTGTTCTTGCTATAAAGAAATAACAAAAGGGATAGGAGAAAGCATAAAACTGAGGTAGGCGATAAGGCCTCGGTCCTTCCAGACCCCGCTGTTATGCCTCCCTTAAAGAAAATGACAGCTAAGACAGGTGGAACTTATAATGGTGGGTCAGGTGCTGGTAACCACTCGAAAGAGATGCATGACCAGTGGCCAAACAACCTATTAAGAAACGGGCAACCAAAACAGCAGAGGATCTTGTGCACCAGCATGCCTCTCTTGTTCGGAATGATAACATTATGGATACTATTAACGACGTGGTCGTTGATGCTGCAAACCAAGCCAAGTCTTCGGCGAAGGACATCAACAACCCAACACATGCCAAAACCGATGGGGTTTCAAAGGCGTCTACTGGAAAGGAACCTATCAAACTGTTTTTGGCTCCGCTCAAACCTAGGACTAGTGATGACATTAGTGCCTATAGTTAGGCCAAGACTAGGGTAGAGTTTGATTTGAGGAATCAACAAATTGCTGGCGAACACAAATTGCAAAAGGAAAGGTCTAAATTCAATGCAAGACCCTACGCGAAACTCATGGACCACAACACTTAACCACTCAAGAACAAAAACTCTCTTATAAAGTAGAATATGAGTAAACTAATTTAGATCAAGAACAAACTCAATTCCTCAAGAAATGGCTCTAAAAAGCTATGTAAAAAGTTTATGGAATGATGCAATGTAAAACTATGAAATGTTTGAGGAATGGTTGTGAAAAGTAGACCCAAAAGACCCTTATTTATACCCAAAAATGATGTGTAACGGATGGGAGTTGATTTGGGTTTAATGGCATGATTTTTGGAAATTAAATAAAAGTGGATCTGCAGGAAATTAGCCTACCCAGCGATGTATGGAACTACCCATCGCTGCTAAGCCATTTTTCCTTCAGTTTTAAAGACAACGGTCACCTACCCATGGATGGGTAAGAGCTTCCCATCGCTGGGTGGGAGGTTGACTCTCAAACAAGGAAAGAATCAACCTTAAATGCCTTACAACGGTCATGCCTTTCCATGGATGGGTAATATCCTCCCATGGCTGGGAAGTCACTTACCCATGGATGGGTAATATCTCCCATCGCTGGGTGGCATGGTTCTAGAATCCCGGATCACTTACCCATGGATGGGTAATATCTCCCATCGCTGGGTGGCATGGTTCTGGAATCCCGGGATCACTTAGCCATGGATGGGTGATATCTACCATCGCTGGGTAGATGGCTAGTCCAAAACCATGGCCTAGCCGACCGGCGCTGAAACCCGACTGAAAAAAACAAAGTTCTCCAAAGTAAAAACTAAGTGTTTAAAACACTTATTTAATGTATTTTATGTAGAAACCAAGTATAAAAACTTAAAACCCACTTCATTAAGGTAAAAACCACGGCTAGCCAAGTTTATGCTGTTTCGCATGGTTTTTGCCAAACGACCAAAACCGAGGGGTGGTTTTTGAAGTGTTTTTATTGGAGAACCATTTGGACATGTCCAGAAGTAAAAACCAATCATAAAATATTAAAAACCACTTGATTGATTTGGACGCCAAAAACCAACGCCGATAACCAGCGCCGAATGCCGATAACCAACGCCGAAAAAACAAAGGTTATGGTTTTTGAAAACTAATGATTTGGAAAACCTTTAAATGTGTCCAGAAGCATAAAGCAAAGATAAAACCCAAAAACCATTTGGTTAAAATCAATGCCAATAACCAATGCCGAAAATTGAACGCCACAACCGAATGCCGATAATCGATGGTTATGGTTTTGGTTAAGCAAAAACCATGGGTTTTAGAAACTTAAAAACCATTTATGAAAACACTCATTTGATGCATGAAAAACATATTTTGTTTTGAGCCATGACGTAGAGAAATTGAATGAGCTTGTTACAATAAAAACCTAAGTCTTTAGAAAACGTCTTCAAAGCGCCAATGTCGCCATCTTTAGCAACATCAATGCCTTTCTTGTGTTTTTTGTTTCTTCAATGAACTTTTTCTATCTCTTTGAATCTTTTCATTTTGTTCCATGTTCCCGACGGTTTGTCAATATCAAAACCTAAACAGAAACAAACATTGTCATTAGCAAAATGTCAAAGTGAAAATGTTTTCCAACATAGGTGACTATTCTAAACATAAAAGACGTGAACTTTTCCTAAGAACTATGGAAGTAGATGGAGCTACAGGTGTGCAAAGTTCAGCACTGTGCTCTTCCATAGCAAACTCAGCTTGTTTCCTTAAAAAACAAGAACACAAAAAACATAAGTTTAAAATTTTAGGTTAATAAATTGGGTTAAGCACTGAAATAGCACTACTGTATAGGATTTAATACCTATCTAGCACTGCTACTGAAAAATTTATTTCCGTCATTTTGGAGGACGTTAATTTCCGGTTTTGTCCCTGAGGTATTAAAGAGGTGGATAATTGATTTGAACCTGGCAGTGGATTTTCCCGATTCTTGAGGTCGGCTAATCAGGCGCCAGATTTGCTATCATAGTCTGTTTCATGCTTCCCGGTTATTGAGGTCGGAGATTCAGGCGGCTGTTTCGCACTTCCAAAATTATAATCTAGAAACATGAAGTGTACAGAGCTTGCGAACCCTGATAGATCTCATCCGGTGAGAAGCCACAGTGTGAGAATTGCAATGGCGAAAGAGGAAGCTTTGCACAGTGGTGAACAAGCCTTGTCAGCGAAGGATGCACTCGATGAAATTCCGCTGATTAAGCGAATGGAGAAGGTTCAGGTATGGTTTGTCATTGCATGTATGTAATTATAGGCTGTTCAAGATTGAATTTTGGCAGTATGCATGGCCGTATTCAGGTTTCAAAGCTGGTTGAGTTGGGGATTTGAATTTTATTTTGAATTTTGGTGGTTTTGAGGTTTTCAAATATGACATGTGTTGTGCAATGCCGTAATTCTGTTTTGGAAGAGTTGCTAACTATGGTAGATGAACAGTTTTTTTTGGGTTTTGTGTCTTGTGGTGATTGTGATTTTATTATTTGTGGATTTGTTGTACAAATGCCTTGAATTACTTCCCCCAAACCCAATTGTTTTTGCATATTGCAGTGTGTAGTTTAATTGTTGGGGTTTCTTTTTCCTGATTAATAAGCTTTTTGTCATAAAATTGTGTGTGTAGATAGTCACGATGTTCAGTTGAATGTGTGTTTTGCATTCACTTTTTTTGTAGTTTTGACGGGTGTAGTTATAGTGTTTGGATTTGTGAGGGTGTGAAGAATATTGTTGATGAGGATTGTGATTATTTTTTTCTCTTGTTTTTGGTGTGTGTGCTGTTGTGGAAGTGTGTGTAGTTTTAGCCACTTAGTGTTGTTAGTGGTGTTCTTGTAAATGGCATTGGGAGTTTATTCCTTGATATTTTGAAAAAGGTGGCTGTGCTCTTGACATTCCTAATGGATTTGTTGTACAACTGCATTTTTTTAACTTGCACCTCCAGAAACATTATTTCGTTGCATATGGCTTGTGTGGTTCATGTTCTGCGGTTCCCTTTTCATGGCAATTACATCTTTTTTATGTTAAAAAGGTTTATTTAGGTAGTCCCAATATTCAGTTGAAGTTGTGCTTGCAATCATTTTTTTGGTTTAGAGGGTGCAGTTTTAGTGTGTGGAATTGTGTGGGTTTATACAATATTGTTTGGGTGAATTGAGAGTAATGAGCTTTTGGATGTGTGCTCTGCTGTGGAAGTATAGGTGGTTGTAGTTATTTAGTGTTGTGTTTGGCACTGTGGTTTTTCCCTGTATGTTGCATTGGAAGTTAATTTTAGTGGACACATTGCGATATCCTTTTAGTTCACATAGAATTATGGTGGTCTGTCTCACTGGTATATGAAAACATGTGGCATTGGAAGTTTGGTTTTGGGAGATACTGTATTTTTGGAATTCTGGGATTACTCCCTGTCTTTATGTTTGTGATTGATATTCAGAGGTTTTCCTCATAATACATAATTACATAATACAAAATGACTATATATACATAAGAAGGGTGCTAATATAAGGAAACTAAATCTCCCATATTAATGCCTAAATCACCCATATTAATGGCCAAATCAGAGCCTGCCATATTCTCAAGACTTAACTAAAATACTAATATTATTACTAATAACACTCCCCCTCAAGTTGGAGCATATATATTTATCATGCCCAACTTGTTACATAAATACATAAAGTCTGGTGCCATTTAGCGCTTTAGTAAGGAGATCTGCTAATTGATCTCATGTCTTCACAAATCCAGTAGAAATCAATCCCTTCTGTATTTTCTCCTGAACAAAGTGACAATCTACTTCGATATGTTTCGTCCTTTCGTGAAAAACTGGTTTGGATGCAATATTAAGAGCTGGTTGGTTATCATACCATAGTTTCGCAGGGATGGGAGCTTTGAAATCAATTTCATTCAGGAGGTGATATATCCATATTATTTCACACGCAGCTTGTAACACAGAATATGTTCCACTGCAGCCCAATGATCAATTGTTGGGGATGCCATAAACTGACTTACCACGCTAACAGGATAAGCAATGTCCGGGCGGGTCACAACCAAGTAGTTCAGTTTACCCACTAATCTCCTGTATCTCTCTGGATCACTGAATGATTCACCGTCTTTCGTTAATTGCATGTTAGGAACCATAGGCGTATTACATGGTTTGGATGCGAGCTTTCCTGTCTCAGACAACAAATCAAGCACATACTTCCTCTGTGTAAGCAATATACCTTTCTTGCTTCGCAAAACTTCAACCCCTAGAAAATACTTCAGCGGTCCAAGATCCTTTGTCTGAAACTGACTATGGACAAATGTCTTGAGTGATGAAATACCTGCAAAATCATTTCTTGTAATAATGATGTCATCTACATAAACAACCAGTAAGATGATCCCACCCCTAGATCGCTTATAAAAGACAGAATGATCAGATTGGCCTTTCACCATTCCGAACCGCTCGATTACTTGGCTGAATTTGCCATACCATGCACGAGGACTTTGTTTTAGTCCGTATAAAGATTTATGCAGGCGACATACCTTCCCATTCTCCCCCTGAGCAACAAACCCTGGAGGTTGCTCCATATAAACCTCTTCCTCAAGAGCATCACGAAGAAACGCATTTTTGATATCTAATTGATGCAACGGCCAATCATGACATGCAGCCATAGAGATGACAAAGCGAATAGAAGTGAGCTTGGCAACTGGAGAGAAAGTCTCATCATAATCAACACCATAGGTCTAAGCATATCCTTTGGCCACTAATCGAGCTTTGAGGCGAGCCACAGACCCATCTAGATTAACCTTAATAGAGAAGACCCACTTGCAACCAATAGATTTCTTGCCGATCGGCAATGAAACTAGACTCCAAGTATGATTTTGCTCCAAGGCTTTCATCTCTTCTATCATGGCAGTACGCCATCCAGGATGAGAGAGTGCTTCTCTGACAGTTTTAGGAAGAGGGACAGAATCTAGGGAAGAGGTGAGTGCACAAGCAGTAGAAGACAAATGATCATAAGAGACAAAATTAGAAATAGGGTAGGTGCAAGACCGCTTACCTTTGCGCAAAGCGATGGGTAGATCATCAGCATGATCAGGATCCAACGACGAAGTGCTTGACTCAGGGCGTGAGACTGGTGTAGGGGTAGGTGGTTGATCAGTCAATGTGGCAGGAAGAGATTCAGGGATAATTGAAGGTGCAACTGGTTTTTTCCTGCGGGAGTAAACCTGAATGACGGGGGGCACACCAGTAGAGGGCATTGTAGCACTAGAGGTAGTGTAAAATAAAACGTCACCAGAACCCTCCCCCTCATTTACAGAATCGGTAGGTGAAGAAAAAGGAACATGCTCATGGAAACTCCCATCGATGGAGACAAGATATCGACCAAGACTAGGACAATAACAACGATATCCCTTTTGAACCCGGGAGTACCCCAAAAAGATGCAGTTCAAGGATTTTGGATCTAGCTTAGTGACAGATGGACGAACATCCCTTACAAAACATGTACACCCAAAGATCATTGGTGAGACTAGAAAAATAGGTTTATCAGGGAAGAGAATATGAAATGGTGGCTGGCCACCAAGGACACTCGATGGAAGGCGATTAATTAAGAAACATGTCGTGGCAACGGCATCAGCCCAAAACATCTTGGACACTTTTGATTGAAACAAGAGTGCCCGTGCAGTTTCAAGCAGATGTCGATTTTTGCGTTCAGCTACTCCATTTTGGGCTGGAGTATCCACACACGAAGTTTGGTGGAGAATGCCATGGTCATGCATGTAGGCTTGTGATGATTGTAGTTTTTCGGGTAGTAAACCTTCCTAGTAAAGGGTTAGTTTTCTCTCTGAGTGTCGTGTCTCTCGAGGAGTGGACGAAGGGAATTAGTTTAATTACTCTAATTAGGCAAAGGTTAGGATAGGTTTATGAAAGTCTTCTCGGAACGAATATTAAAAGAGCAGAGTAAAAATAATAAATTTAGTTTACATACTATAAGTGCAAGTCTGGACCTAGGGTCAGGACATCATTTGGATCTATTTTATCATATTAAATTAACAATTGGAATAATAATATTTCTATTACTACTCATCCGTTTCTAGATTTGTACTTAATCCGTTGCACTTGAATATCATAGCCCTTTTGCACACAATATTTTCTCAATAAATAGCTAATTAAATCTTTCGACATTAATTAACTAGATAAGGCAAGAGCAATTGATTAACCATTCCAACATTAATTTAACATTCAAAATATATAACCAAACTAGTCCGGACCCAGAGATCCGAACCCTAACTCATACTATGCAAACATGAATTAAAACATCATTTTATTAAATAAAGAAAACTTACGGATTCCGTAAAAGCAGAACAGAAGAGATCGGGAGTCAAATCCTCTGGAAAATACATCAAAATAATAACTAAACTAATATACAACTAATATGGAGAAAATTGAAGAGAAAAATCCGAAATGGGTTGAGAATGATTATGAGAATGAGGAGAATCACGCTGTATTTATAGGGACGGAGCCAAGGCGTCCAAGTCCAAGCGTCCAACTCCAAGCGTCCAGATTTGGACGCCTGAGCTGTCCCGGCCAACCAGGTTTTGCCATGTGTCATTCTTGGGCTGCAATTCACCTGAAGCGTCCAACTTGGCCAAGTGTCCAAGTTGGACGCCTCAGGCCCTTCTCTTGGTGGGCTTCGCGGCTGGTTCGTGATTTTGGCCCAATTTCGCTCCGTTTTGGCCCCGAACACTGTTTTTGACCTCTCAAAAGCTCGTTCAAGCCCGAATCTTGATCCTTTGATTATTTATGCCCTTTTTCTCAAGTATTTGAACATAAAATGGATGATTTATGATGATTTCATGTGGAATCCCTTTTTATGACTCTTAGAACGAAAATGAGAGTTTTATTCATTGAAAACACATTTTATGAGATGATTAAATACTATTTACGTGCAAGAACGTTTAGAATATGATGTAAATGATAAGAACGAAACGGACTTAACAAATTCCTCACACTTAAACGTTGCTTGCCCTCAAGCAACAAATTGAATAATTACAAGCATAAAGGCAAATTAATAATTGCAGAGGAAAGGTTTAAGCTACATATTATGAAGGAAAGAAGAAATAAGATAGTCATCAACCTTTTTGTTAAGAAGAAATGAACCTTTAGATTCTCACCCATATTGTTAGAAATGTAAAAAATTTTTGTCAAACCAATATTTTTACACAAACCTAAACAACCATAATTTTCCAAACTTTCTTTGGGATAACTACATTTGTAAGAGTACTTTAAAGATAAAATAATTTTTTAATGGCTGAATTGGAAAACATGTTCTTGCAAAAGTATTAGTAAAAGTGTATGGGTTAATTTTCTTTGGCATAACTTTGTCATGTTGACACATGAAAAATTTATAACCTCATCCCGTGACATAGAACCACGAGCTTTTTGGATATTCACTCCGGGAAGTCTCATCACATGACATAGAAACGCATGCTTTTTGACTCTAACAATCAATAGGCCTCATCACGCAATATAGAACCACGTGCTTTTTGACATACTCACCAAGCCTCATCAATTGACATAGAACCAATTGCTTTTTGGCTAAAACAAGAATCTCGGTCTCACCAAAGTATGCTTTGAAACGTCACCCCTTATACTTTGAAAATAACTCTTTTCAAGGAACAACAGATACTCCTAAAAGCATGAGCAAAAAGATTTTCAATAAAGCACTTAAAAATTGATTGATCCTAAAAACTCTTAGTAAATTGTGAATTCATCCCAAATCATTTTAGAAAACATTCCCAAAAGGTTAGAGTAAAAATAGAAGTTTGACAAAAATTTTAAAAATTTCCAATTTTTATGGGTGATAAGTAAAAATTAATTAATCAAACACATAAAACTGATGACTATTTTATAAAACATTTTCCTTCAAACATATAGACAAAACAATTCCTAAAAAGATCATTTCAACCAGATACTCTCACCTCCTCACACTTAAACGGAACCACGCCCTCGTGGTTAAGAGTGTTTTTGAATTGGAGTTAATGGTTGAAATGCTCACATGCAATTACTAAGTTATCTCAATACTTACAAAAATCAACAATGAAGATTGAAACAATAGATAACCATAACATGTAAATATGAAATAATCCATAAAATTTTCTCAAAATGGTTTTAAGAATCATGTTGTGAAATTCCAAAATAAAAATCAATCAAGCATCCAAATCATGTTCAAAATAGTAGAGAAAAAAAAGAGACTTTACTGAGGAAGTCAATATCCTCTCAGTAGCCAACTTCAACCAAGACTTTTGGATCAAGAAGCCTCGAAGGTTGCAGAAACCTTGTGTTTTCGCCAGGTGAGACCTCTTCTTCGCTCCCACGGTAAGGTATGCCCTACAATTCTCTCATCTGCAAAAGCAAAGACAACAAACAAAATAACTCTTGCCCCCAAAACTGGTGCGGCAAGCATAACCTCAAAAACTAACAAATAAAACTATTGAATTTATTTAATTATTTTAGTTATTTGAATGACGGGTTGCCTCCCGTTAAGCGCTTCTTTAACGTTCGTAGCTCGATGCTCACCCACTTTTTCCGTGACTTTCCAATCCGAGAGTCATAAAGTTTGGCCTTTTTGACTCTCTTCTGATACCACCTTATTTGATTTGTTGCTCGGTCAAGGTCCAGGATCCTTGACTCATCCCTGCGGCTTGGTGGCAACAGGATATATGGAGGAGACTTTAGATAGGTGGGTGGTGGCGGAAGTCTCCTCCGCAGATCCACATCATTAGCCTTGATTGCAAAATTGATTTCTTCCTTATCTACAATCGGCTAACTATCCATTTGTGGTTTGATGATTATGATCGTACTTACCCCCATGGAAGAGTCGTCATGGTCACTCGCCAGAAGCTCGTCCCAACTTGCTTGACTCCAACCATCCTTCAGGCAGACATAGTCATACCCATCAAGTAATGAATCAAAGAAAGCATGGTCTGAATCTTCAGATGAATCATTATTTGCGCAGGTTTCTATAGACGGAATTGGATCATTGGTGCAAAGTATTTTCTCATCTATAGATTCCTCCTCAGACTCTTGGATGTCGTAATCTTGAGGGTAAGTAGTGGGCTCTATTTCCTCCAGAACAGGTTCCTCTGGAGGTGTGTCTTTAACACGACTAAGGAGATGGTCATTTACTTCCATATGCCAAACTTCCTCCTCCTTCTTTTCTTGAATAAGCATAGGTGGTTCTGAGTCAGGTCCCTCAGTTGGTTCCACCTCATGTACGACTATGCTGGCTGGGATTTGGATAGGAAGAGATTTAGGTAACATCACCACAGTAGCCCTAGGGAGAGTTGTTATGCTCTCGGGTTTCTGTGATGGTGTAGAACTGGGTGAATCTTCTAGAACTGCAACCTGATGAGTGAATGACTCGGGGTTGGTCTTAGGTTCTAGAGCCTCCTTTTGAACATTAATCTCCCTCATTTGATCTTCAGGTTGGAGGGAGCGTTTGAGTTCAACAGCCTTACAGAGATCATTGACTAATTTATCAGCTTTAGCCTCAGCTTCTAGTCTCTCTCTTTGGAAGTCCTCCAGCATTTTCTGCATCATTTCTGATCCTTCACATAATCTCCTTTCGAACTCCTTTTCTTTCCGGACTGATTCGAGAAGTTTTGCTCTTTCTCGAATTGCCACCTTGTTTGCCTCAATATGTTCTTCAGCAAACAGGGTGTAGTCACGGCAGTATGGTGGTTCATACCAGGAGCCTTCAGCGAATAGAACCTCGTCGAAATAGAAAACTTTCTGTTCTAATCTTATGATTTCTTCGACGAGTGGATCAGATTGATTGTCGCACATAGGCCCATATTGGTCATAGTCATCGTTATCTCCATGAGGTTCATAATAGTTATCCCCATCAGTGTCTAGGTGTGGAGAATATCCAAAGTTCCTAGACAGGGTGTCATATGGTGGTTCCTCACGAAGGAAATAGTAGTCAGGCCCATTGTTGACTTGGTAGTCATCATCATATGGGTACTGATGTGGGTGGTAAGGTGGATGGGTTTGAAATGGAGGGCAGTTGGGTGATTGGTAGAACGAAGGCGGACCGTAATAACCATTGGAGTTATCCATAATAATTATTACGGGTGGTTGGTGAAAAAGAAGTGAGAAGATCGTTCTAACCAATCTTCACCCAAGCTAATTAAAAGAAATTAAACTAATGCCGTGCCACTCCCCGGCAACAGCGCCGTTTGATGATTGTAGTTTTTCGGGTAGTAAACCTTCCCAGTAAAGGGTTAGTTTTCTCTCCAAGTATCGTGCCTCTCGAGGAGTGGACGAAGGGAATTAGTTTAATTACTCTAATTAGGCGAAGGTTAGGATAGGTTTATGAAAGTCTTCTCGGAACGAATATTAAAAGAGCAGAGTAAAAATAATAAATTTAGTTTACATAGTATAAGTGCAAGTCTGGACCTAGGGTCAGGACATCATTTGGATCTATTTTATCATATTAAATTAACAATTGGAATAATAATATTTCTATTACTACTCATCCGTTTCTAGATTTGTACTTAATCCGTTGCACTTGAATATCATAGCCCTTTGGCACACAATATTTTCTCAATAAATAGCTAATTAAGTCTTTCGACATTAATTAACTAGATAAGGCAAGAGCAATTGATTAACCATTCCAACATTAATTTAACATTCAAAATATATAACCAAACTAGTCCGGACCCAGAGATCCGAACCCTAACTCATACTATGCAAACATGAATTAAAACATCATTTTATTAAATAAAGAAAACTTACGGATTCCGTAAAAGCAGAACAGAACAGATCGGGAGTCAAATCCTCTGGAAAATACATCAAAATAATAACTAAACTAATATACAACTAATATGGAGAAAATTGAAGAGAAAAATCCGAAATGGGTTGAGAATGATTATGAGAATGAGGAGAATCACGCTGTATTTATAGGGACGGAGCCAAGGCCTCCAACTCCAAGCGTCCAACTCCAAGCGTCCAGATTTGGACGCCTGAGCTGTCCCGGCCAACCAGGTTTTGCCATGTGTCATTCTTGGGCTGCAATTCACCTGAAGCGTCCAACCCTGAAGCGTCCAACTTGGCCAAGTGTCCAAGTTGGACGCCTCAGGCCCTTCTCTTGGTGGGCTTCGCGGCTGGTTCGTGATTTTGGCCTAATTTCGCTCCGTTTTGGCCCCGAACACTGTTTTTGACCTCTCAAAAGCTCGTTCAAGCCCGAATCTTGATCCTTTGATTATTTATGCCCTTTTTCTCAAGTATTTGAACATAAAATGGATGATTTATGATGATTTCATGTGGAATCCATTTTTATGACTCTTAGAACGAAAATGAGAGTTTTATTCATTGAAAACACATTTTATGAGATGATTAAATACTATTTATGTGCAAGAACGTTTAGAATATGATGTAAATGATAAGAACGAAACGAACTTATCAGCTTGGAAGGGGCTGGAAAGATATTCTTTAGCATTTTCACCATGCATAATTTTAAGAGGCATATTAAATTGGGTTTGGATTTCAGCACAAAATTAACGAAAGTGAGAAAATAACTCAGAACGAGATTTCATTAAATAGAGCCAAGTCATATGTGAATAGTCATCAACAAAAGTAACAAAGTACCGGAATCCGGGTTTTGACACAACCGAGCAAGGACCCCAAACGTCATAATGAACCAACTGAAAAGGAGCACTTGCCCGTAGATTTATTCTAGGACTCAAACTAACACGATGGTGTTTAGAAAAACGACATGATTCACACTCTAAAACAGAGAGATGTTGAAATTGAGGATAAATTTTCTTTAACAGTGACAAGGATGGATGACCAAGACGATAATGAATCTCAAGAGGTGACTCAATCCCAACACAAGCAGCTGCTTTAGGAGTGGAAGTGTTGAGAAGATACAGGCCATTAGTCTCACGTCCTTCACCAATAATCTTGTTCGTCGTAAGATCCTGAAACACACAATGGTCAGAAAAGAATGTGACAAAGCAATTAAGATCACGAGTAAGTCTACTAAGAGACAACAGATTAAATGAGAAATTGGGTAAACTCAAAACAGAAGACAGATGCATATTTGGAGTTAGGATAACCGAGCCTGATTCAAGGACCTTAGATGTGGAACCATCAGCAAGGGTAACAGGGGAATGAGATGTGTAGGGCTGAAAAGTGGAGAAGACGCTAGGATTACCTAACATATGATCTGTGGCTCCGGAATCAATAACCCACTTAGAGGAAAGCGAGACAAGACAAGCACTATCGTTACCTGAATTCGTAATTTCCGTCATAGAAGGAGATGATCGCTGCAGGAGCTCCTTGAACAGGAGGAATTGGGAATACTCATTTGTTGAAATAGGGGGGGTTAGAGTTTTCACCAGAGGCAAAGTGTGCAGCTCGTCCCCTTTGATTAACACGTTGAAGTTTCCTACAATCACGCTTATAATGTCCCTCTTTGTGACAATAATGACAGATTATGGGCTCTTGATTCTGTTGGGTGCCACTACGAACGAATGACTTATATGGTTGCTTTGGTGACTCAGTTTGCATCCTCTGACTTATAAGAGCCTTCTGGGGTGCACCATCTGAAGGCTCTATGGGTTTTACACTTTCACTACGGTGAATCCGTGAGTACCCATCCTGTAGGGTGGGAACCTCAGAGTCTGCAAGGACCCTTTCTCGGGCAGCCTCAAATCTCAGGGCCAAGCCTGCCAAAAAACTCATTGTTGCCATCTGCTCTCGCTGTTGTTGCTGAGTTCTGACATCTGGAGTGAAGGGCATCAATGAATTTAAGGCCTCATATGTCTTCTTGAAGTCCACGAAATATGCTTGAAGAGATTGATCCTGCTGGTCTGCCCGATAGAAAGCCTTACATACGTCATAGATACGAGTAAGATTTCCCTTACCTGATTAGAGAAATTCCAAATATTCCATCAAGTCTTTAACTGTTTCACAATGGCCAACTAACCCAAGCACATCCCAATCAGTTGAGTTCCGGATTTGGAGGAATAGTCGAGCATCATCCCTCATTCAGACTTTCTTAGTAGTTGCATCCTTAGGAGGATCATCAGTCATATGATCGTCCTTGTCAGTACTTTGAAGATATAGTTTAATAGTCGTGACCCATTCAAGATAGTTAGAGGAATTAAGCTTCCTCTCTGTGATTTTTGACATGACTGGAAAAACTTCAGTGATGACACTAGACTTATCACCCATTTCAATGAACTAAAACATGAACAAAACCTGATCAGCAGAGGAAGACAGAGCAAAAATCACCCACTGAATGTCCAAACTGAGTCTGCACAGGTGCTTAGATAACTTAGGCGACCCTGACAGTGATTTTTGACAGTGGATCTGACCAGCAGTGGCTGGGCGTGAGTTCTCCAACGAAGGAGAGATTCTCCAGAATTGTTCTCCTGCAACGTGCGACTCCACCCACGGTGGCGGTGACGTCAGGTGAGCACCCTTTGAAACAGCGCAAAAATGGCAGAAGCCTTTTTTTTTTACAAACGATGAACCCTAACCCTAGAGCACACTGGCTCTGATACCATGTGATTGATAATCGAGGTTTTCCTCATAATTCATAATTACATAATACAAAATGACTATATATACATAAGGGTGCTAATATAAGGAAACTAAATCTCCCATATTAGTGCCTAAATCACCCATATTAATGGCCAAATCAGAGCCTGCCATATTCTCTGGACTTAACTAAAATACTACTATGATTACTAATAACGCATTCTAATGGGACAAACAAAAAAGAAAAGTGTAAACTTTCTAACGGGACGGAGGGAGTATATGCTCCAACTTGAGGGTATGTGGACTTTTATACTCAGCCAGCCTCCATTTGCCTCTAAACAGTGACCATTATTAAGGTTGGCCTTAGCCCAACTATATAAATATAATTTGTAGCTTTTAAGCCTAGTTTTTTGTCTATAAATATACTCCGTAGAATATTTGTATATTGTTCATCATGAAAACATTAAACAATCTTCACTTCCGAAATCTGCGACCTCCACTTTTGTGAAGTAACTTCTACGTGTGGTGAATGTATTAACTTTTTCTTTTCAAAAGTTCATAGGAGATTATAAGAAGAAAGAATTATTGCATTTAGGCAGTAAGGCACACACTGAAGCCTATTAAACATGACTGCTTACTTCAAAGCATTTAGGCAGTATTGCACAATGATGAATTTAATGGCTACACTGTCATTGCAAAATTGTAGTTGATAGCAAGATAAAACTTTACAACATAGCTATGAAACTGCACCATGTTTGGAGGATCCCAAAACTTGAAGCCAAACTAGTCATTAATTCATTATGCAGGCAATGCACCATTGTATAAATGTCAAATCATGAAGAAAAGTAAATCTATTTCGAGAACTGAACAAGTGTGAACAAGCATGTGTGAGTACACACTTAAGTAGCGAATACGTTAAGTAAAACAAAGAGCAAAAAGAAAAAGGACAAAATTTGAAATAACTTAAAAATCTGAAACAATGTATGATTTAGAAATGCACATGGTTTCATTTTTTTTGTTTCCATATACAAATACGGATAAAGTTGGAAAAAAAATCAAAATTTTAAAAGAAATTAAGGACAATGCACAAGATTGCATGTTGTTATTGCCCAAAATACCAGCATAATATTTGTTTCTAATAAAATCATATCAAAGCTGATTCTTATATGATGTGTCAAATGTAACGCTCCATCAACGGATTCAAACTCAATGTTCAAAAAACCATAGGCAAAGTTCTACAACTAGATGGATGAGATTTTATCTCAGGTAGTCGTGTCGTGGCAGTGTTAATAGCCGATTTCCATGTTTTTGAATCTTTGGTTCTCTTGGATTTTAGTTTCTTTTTGTTGAATATTTTTTTCGGGAACGATTGGACCTTACTTTCCACTATGCACTGTTAGATTTTAATTTAACTGTGTATTTCTTGAGCAAATTGCGTTTTTTGGAGATTCATTAACAGTTAATGAGCAACTCAAGATTTGCAGCAATTCAACTCTTATGGCAAGACTGGGCTCCAACGTGCGACTCTAGAATTGTTCTCCTGCAACGTGCGACTCCACCCACGGTGGCGGTGACGTCAGGCGTGCACCCTTAGAGACAGCGTCAAAATGGCAGAAGGCTTTTTTTTACAAACAATGAACCCTAACCCTAGAGCACACTGGCTCCAATACCATGTGATTGATAATCAGAGGTTTTCCTCATAATACATAATTACATAATACAAAATGACTATATATACATAAGAAGGGTGCTAATATAAGGAAACTAAATCTCTCATATTAATGCCTAAATCACCCATATTAATGGCCAAATCAGAGCCAGCCATATTCTCAAGACTTAACTAAAATACTAATATTATTACTAAGAACAATGTTAATGGTCTATGGTGTGGTCTTTTTATCTAGCAGTGTAACCTTTATTTTCGTGTCTTTTAATAGATCAAAGTGTAACCAACATTGGGCAGTAGGTGTTTGTGCGTTCTTTAGACATCTACCTTTCTGTGTTTTGATTTATTTCATGCATGTCTATCATGCGTTAACATTTGGGACAAATAATTTGTGATGTGCTTACGTCTGCTTTCTACATTGTATAGGACGCACAAAGGCTGAATAAAGGTGGTTTACTTGATGGTCGGATTAATACGTATTGCAATGTTAATGAGGTGGCCAGGCAGATTAGAACGAAACTAAGTCAGGAGGAGGTTAATAGGTTTAGGTCTTCGGCATTTGGTGTTATTTTAGATGTTTTGGAGTGTCCATGGATTAGCGGGCAGTTACTCATACATTTGGTTGGTAATTGTGTGAGGTCTGCGGATGGCGGTGGGAGGAAGGACGTGTTGAAATTCCAAATCCATGGGCATGAGGTCGTCTTGACGAAGGCGCAATTTCACTTTATTACTGGGTTAAAAATGGGTGGATTGAGGGGGCAAATGGAAAATGGTGTGTGTGGCAGGTTTGCATCGCGGTATTTCCACTCCAGCAAATCTGTTTAGTGAAGAGACATCACCAAAGCATTCATAAGCTTTGATCGTGATGCAGCGGGGACAATGCCAAATGACGCCCTAAAGATGTCTTTGATTTATGCTTAGGCAAATTCATTTCTTGGTAACCAGCCTTCGGTTAATTTGCCGATGAGTTATTTGAACTTGGTTGATGATCTTGATGAGTTCAATAGTTACCCATGGGGGGATGACGTCTGGTCAGAGTTAGTTGATCATGTGTATAGGTGTGCAGTGTGTATTGAAAAGGGTGGTAGCACTCGGCCTACGTTTGGAGGCTACATGTTTACATTACAAGTGTGGGCATTTGAGACATTCCCATCGCTTACAGAGGCTGGGATGTGTGTGTTAGATCCTGGAAAAGTGAATTCAATACCCTGGTGTTTCAGGTGGAAGGTCTGTGCGAAGTTCAACGCTGCGAAAGTATCTGACGCACTTTTTAAGTTTGGAAGGTTAGGGGTTTTGTTTTATTTTTGATTTTGTGCGTGTTTTTTCATTGCGTTGTGTTTATTAATTATGAATTTTTCACTTCTAGCTTGTAGTGAATGCAGTTGAGCCAACAGCCGCTCAGATGTTGTTGGAAAGTGTTAAAGAGCTTTTCAAGGATAAAACCACTTCTTCGGTGAAGGGGAAAAGGAAGTTGTCACTGAGTTCTTCGAAACGGGTTTGGAATGTGAAGGAGAAGCAAGTGAATATACGAGATGCGTTGGGGAAGATGAAAGCTGAGGGGATGGCATCTGGAAGTGAGAAGTTGTCCGGGGATAAGAGGGTTGAGAAGGGCAGTGTGAAATTAGCTGATAATCTGGTGGGTCGTAGAGGCAAGAAGGAGAGTGTGGCAACTAAGGGTTGTGATCACCTGAATATAGTGGAGGAGATTAAAGAGATCAAGGAAAAACAGGCGGCGCGAGACATGAAGCTTGATGAAATTTTAGGCATTCTTCGACAAAAAACTGCGTGTGTTGAAGCTGGTTCAGCGTCGGGGAAAGGGTCATTGATGGGAGGCAATGAGGAAGTGAAGATCCAAGTGGCAGGACCATCTGGTGCGGGGAATACATATGGTGGAGTTAAATGTGGGGATGATCTCGAGTTGAGTTTTGATTCCGGTGGTCCATCGTTTGATCTTCTGACCCAAATGCCGAAAGTTGATGCGATTGGTGATGACATGCCAAATGACAAAACTGGTAATGTATCGGTGGCAGAAGCGTGTGATTATGCAAAGCAGGGGAAGTGTTTAGAGATTCCCTACATTGAGACACAATACGATCCCCACGACCTCGAGCTTATTGACAGGGAAACCGAAATGATGCTTATTTCTTTACAGAATGCTAGAAGTGTAAAGTGTTGAATTCATACACTTTTGTTTTTTTTATGCCAAGTAACGGATTGTGAATTTTGGCAGAATGATATTTGAATTGTAATTGGTTTGGAATGGCAGGTTGTTTCGGTTTCGTGTGAACGGGTTGAGGTGCAGTGTGCGGAGGATGGAAAATGCTAGAAAAGTGTAGATGGTGGTGAGCCTGACAAGAAATGTGGAGACATTACAATGCCAAATGCTGTGCAAGTACCGGTAAACGTTGATGTTGCATTTGGGGTTGGTCATGTATGTACATATATTTGGGAAATGAATAATAAGTACCCTTTCGGTAATGTGGTTTTTCAGATGTGTTTAGCCTCGATTGCATTTTTCCGTTCGTGACAACATATATTTAACATTGTAATCTCGTAGGGGTCAAGTGGTTTGAACAAGGTTAAACTGGGGCATCATGTCAATGAAGGCACACAAAAGGTCAGCATGGGTGATGACGATTTTAACAGAATATTTACCAGCAGCCGGGTGAGAAGTGGGGATCAGATAGTGAAGGGTGTTCAAGACCCTGTGGTGGTTAGTTTTTTTAGATGTAGTTATAATGGGAAAATTATTATTCACTATTCTAAACTGTGAATTAATATCTGGGCGTAGTAAGGTTCTGGCAGTGTGTTTGTGTACTACAGTATGATTGTTTTTCCCTGTGACGTTTGTGGTTTTTTTTATTAGGCGTTTTCTACGGCTTCAAATTCCAACAGTGCATGCGTTGAGATTGAACACCCTAAAAGGGTTCACAAAAGTCCTGAAATATATACTCCCTCGTGCAAGACAGGAAAAGGCGCAAGCTTGAACGGATGGAGCGTGCTAGGCAATGTCATACCCGTGATAGGAAGGCTGTGTGCCATGGGCCATTTTCAGAGGATCCGAAGAAGATGCCTGCAGAGGAGGAAATAGAGAAGGTGAGAGGATTTTTGAATGAAGGCTTGTTGAAAAGGCACGGACGGGGGAACATGACATGTGGGTATAGGAGCAAGGTGGAGAACATGTCGAAAAATCCCATTGTCCTAGATGGTTTTACGGTGGACAAGACATGGCTATATGAGCTGTTTACAAAAACAGAGTGGTTACGCAGCACGGTATGCTTTTTTTTCTTTTTTGATTTGTTGGTTGTTTATTTTAAGACGGTATGAGAAAAAAAAATTGGCTGTGGGATGTTATTAAATTTGGGATACAATATAGTGTTTGTGACATGATATAGCTGGGTGTTTTGTTGGATGCGAATTAAGAAGTTATGTTTCTGTTTTGGATTTTTTTAATATTATGGCAGTGAGAATGCTTTTTTAGAAGGATTCTAGCATTGTATATGGGACGGGTGAGTTATTTGATGGGATCGTAGCAGTATAGTGAATGTAGACTGTTTTATCACTGGACACCAGTGTTTGTGGGCACTTAGTTTGGCATATATGGGCAGTGGGTTTTTTTTGGGGCAGTGCATTCGGAGATAAATTTGTGGGGTGCTGTATTGGCAGTGTGTTCTGTACGTTAAATGAGTGTGACTTCTGTGCAAACTTTATCGTTTAGAGAGATATTGTTTTTTTACTATTGACTTCTGTGCGAACTTTATTGTTATACAGCATGTTGAAATAGCAATGTATTTCGTGGAAGTGAAGGGCAGGCAGTATGACCTCATGCAGACGTACACAACAACAACCCCTTATTTCTTACAAGGGTTGTATAAACATCAAGAAATGGTGAATGTTGGCAAGGCCAAGAAGGAGGATGTCATCAATTGAGCTGAAGGGATTGGCACGGGAATATTCTAGGCCATGGTCTGAGTGTGATTTCGTATATATGCCCTTAAATACTGGTGACCATTGAGTATTGCTGGTCCTAGAAGTTGAAGGAAGGACTATACGGGTATATGATTCGAAAGGAAGGAAGGGAAAAATTTTCCGGGCATTGAATGAATATGTGCAATGTATCACAGAGTTGCTGCCAGTCCTACTTGATTTATTGAGTGTGTACGACGAGCACTCTAATGGGCCGATGGAGAAACGGAAGGTCTCTATCGATGTCATTAACAGGTGTCCCCAACAAAATAACGGGTATGTGGTAAATTTATAGTTTGTGTAGAGCGAATTCAGTTACATTTCAATTAGTTGAAAATAGTCAGGTGATTAGTAGCGTTAACAGTTGTGTTTAAAAATGCAGGTGCAATTGTGGAATGTTCATGTTGAAGTTTGCTGAGTACTTAATGATGGACCGAGACATTTCTGATGTGCACTCCCGCGATATGGAGGCATACCGGGTGAAGATGACTACGGAACACATTGTCTACAATAATTAGCGAAAAGAGCAAGCCAAAGACACCTAGTCATTTCATGATTTTATTTCTCGGCGTGTTGTTATCATGGGACATCTTTTTTTGGGGGGTGGCTGTTACTCATTATTGTGCTCACATTTTAAGTATGCTTTGTGGTTTTGGTGTTTGGGAGTATGGTATTTGTGTGGATTCGTTAAGGATTTTGTTTTTTGATTTTTATAGGGTCAGACACATTGTCCTGTGTTTTTTCCATGTTCAGCTCTAACAACATTTGGTGGTGGAGTTTTGGGATGTTAGTTTATTTTTCGGAATGGGTGCTTGCGTTTTAGTTTATTTGTGATTTGATGATAGTTTTATATTGCATCGGTGTTTCATTTGCGTCCTTTGTTTTGGTATATGCTGCTTGGCAGTGTTTGCTAGGGTAACGGTTTCCTTGCTGCTGTTTTAAAATGATAACTGTGTGCATCTGTCGCATTCTACACTACCAGGGGTGTGGCTACTGAAATGAACTGACACACTGCTAGTATTGTTGTGGTAATTGTGGGATGGTTTTGGGTGTGGGAGTTTGGAATTGTGGTACGGGCAGTGTAAATTGTTTCTGCAATCAAGGGACACACTTCATTTGTTGTGGTGGGTAGGTTGGGACGGCTTGCAAGGGTAACATGTAAATTATTATTACCCCAAATCAAACAAGTACAACAATGTCTAATGCTTAACCATGAAAATGGTTACATGCATAGAATGATACAACAACAACATACAACAACATGAAGCAACAGCGTACAACAAAGTATAAAACAACTACTAGACCGATACAACAACGAAACCATTGCAATAAGAAAACAATACAACCAATATCAACCAATATAAAACGACTAAGACCAAAGCAATCCAATCCCATAAGAAACCAGGGCAGCAGCTTTCAGTTCCAAGGTAAGCAGATGGTAGTCCAAAAGCTTCATTTAACATTTTTAGCATCCCACCAGGTACTCTTTTAAAACAGCAAACATCATCAGCAACTTTAATCACCAAGGCAGTCATCATCAGCAATCCTAGTCCGCAGGGCAGTAGTGTTGTTTGACAGCAAGCATCCTCAATTCAAAGCAGGCATCAATATGACAGTTCAACACACATCAGCGCACACAACAGTCCAGAGATATTTTTCTATTCAGAGCAAAGAGTATTCCTCATTGTCTCCCCAAGGCACTCGAAGTGACCATATCAAACCATTTAAAACACAGACCCTTACTCATGCAAATGAGACTAGGTAATGGCAGCATTGGTCAAAGGGTAGCCTTGGGGAGATAGAGTATTCCTCAAGGCATATCCACTAACAATCAACAGAGATCAGGTTCAGGTTCCTTCAAACCCCATGCACAGCAGTCCTTTAACCAAGTGCAAGGCCAAGTACAAAGAGATACAATCAAGATCCAATACCTTGAGCAAGCCCAGATGCAATCAAAGATCATTCAAAGCCAAGACACAAATACCAAAGAACAGGGTGAAGCCAAGTTCAATCCCAAACCAAAGGACCTAACCATACCTCATGGCCAGTCAGAAGAAAGACTGGTGGCATGCTGTCTGGTTAGCATCCAAGAAACAAGGAAAGACAAACTCATAAAAGAGGGAGAAAAGGAAGAGGAAGAAAGAAGAAGAAGGGGACAGAGGGGGAGAACAAAGAAAGAAGTGGGTGTAAAAACACCCCAACCAGGGACCCAACCCTCTCCCTATATATCCAGAAGGGGTACACAGGGGTAGGGTTGTTTCCACCACCCCAGGAAGGGGTAACCCACCCACAAAGCCCAGGGCCCAGTCCACAAGCCATAATGTCCCTAGCCTTTCTGAAGAGTGAAAGATTAGGTACACAAGGGCTCATGTCCAAGAAGAGGAGAGATGAGAAAGTGCTGTGGAAGAAAGAAGGGGCAGGGGGGGAAACAAAGAAAGAAGAAGGTGCAGCACACTTCAACCAGAACCCAAGTTAATCCCTGCATAACCAAAAGGGGTACACAGGGTTTAGCTTGTTTTCGCCACCCCAAGAAAGGGGTCCACCCACCCCAAAAGAGACCCCCAGTCCACAAGCCATAATATTCCTAACCAACCTGAAGAATGGATAATTAGGTATACCAGGGCTCATGTCCAAGAAGAGGAAAGGAGAGAGGGAAGAAAAGAAAAAAGAAAGAAAAAAAAGAGAAAGAAGGGAGGAGGGGGGAGGAAAGAAGAAGATAGGTGTAAAACACCCCAACCGGAACCCTAACTCCACTCTGCATATCCAAAAGGGGTACACAGAGGTTAGCTAGTTTTCACCACCCCAAAAACACAGGGTACCCCCACCCCACCCAGGACCCAAAGTAATCAAAAGTTATTCCAGGGGAATAACAATGGATTACTAAGTTTCCAAAAGCCCACCACAATGGAACAACCCCACCCCCAGGCCAGAAACAGCTCCATGTCCATCCAAAGGATGTGCATGGGAGAACCAAATCACAGCCAACCACCACCCAGAGAGGAAGCACCCTTCCTCAGGAGCAAACAATCACACCCTTGGGACAACAAAGGGTGTGAGCGCACAGTGTGTCAAAGTTAGTTTGGGATACAGTTTGGGATACAGTTTGGTATGGGCAGAGTTAGTTTGGGATACAGTTTATTTTTATTTTGTCACAAGGCCGTAGTATGTGTGGGGTATGTAGGCAGTGTATCCAACCCCACCATAATAGGTGTTGGTAATGGCGTGACGTTGTTTGAATTTTTGGTATTTGAATTTTTGGGAGTATAGGATATGTTGTGACGTTGTTTGGAGTAGTGAAACATCTCATTGTATCGGCAGTGTGGTGTCACACTACCTCCTTGTGATATGTTGTGAGTAAATTCCAGGTCGTTTTATGTTGATATGGGGCATGTGATTTTGACCAGTTTTGTTATTGTGGTTGTCAAAGGTCTAATATGTAGTAGGCAGTGTAGTTTGTTTTTGTTTAAGTGTAGTGTACGGTTTTTGTGTGTGTGCAGTGTAACGTTTTATGTCTCAAGTGGGTGTGTAATGTAAAAGTGAAATGGTTTTTATGAAATGCGGTTTTGTCTCCAGAGGTTGTGTAAATTTTGTTGGAACACAGGTTTACGCCTATGTCATACTAAACCGTGTTCGTTTTATAACAGGTTTTGATAATGCTAAACTGCCGTGATAATAAGATTAAACTGAACAAATCAAAGGCGAAGGAACATGACATGATGAACCGAGAACCAAGAACCAAGAATGAAGTAAAAACCATGTGAAACGGCGTAAACTTGGCTAGCCGTGGTTTTTATCTAAATGACGTGGTTTTCAAGATGTTTCACTTGATTTCTTAGCAAAATGCAATAAACAAATGTTTTCAATATTTGGTTTTTATTTTGGAGAACATAGATTTTTGACATCGGCTAACGGCATGACTAAACCAACCATGGGTCTGGCTAAACCAGACCAACACCGATGTTGGGGTGACCAACAGCGCTGTCTGGCATGGGTAGCTGAAAACCATGGTTTGGCGTTAAGTCTTCCAACAACGATGTTGGTGTATGGACATCGCTGTTGAGCCAAGGTTGGGTTTCCAGAAACTTGTGGAACAGCGATGTTGGTGTATGGACATCGCTGTTGAGCTAAGGTTGGGTTTCCAGAAACATGTGGAACAGCGATGTAGACCTCTCAACATCGATATCCAACCTAAGCCAAAAAGAAATGCCTTTGGCAGAAATTTTTTAGACAACGCTGTTGACCCAGCAATAGCGATGTCAGGCCATTTCCTCATCCTGCAAAGTCAGGCATGAACATCGATGTTCAAGTACTGAACATCGATGTAGGCACCTGACCGTTGGAAGGAATTTATGGCTAAAACTTTCCATGTTTGGAAGTCAACAGCCAAAACGGTGATGTAGGCCTTTTGGACATCGCTATTGGCTTGACCGTTGCTTCTTGATTTTCAAAATCTAAGCCTACAACAGCGATGTCCAAGTCATGGACAGCGCTGTCTGGCTGATTTTCAGCAGATCCAATTTTAATCAAATCCCACAAATTGTGCCAAGCACCGCCATTCAACTCCTACCTGTTGGAACCTATTTTTCTACCATAAAATGGGTGTTTGGGTCTGCTTTACTGGTGGTCCCAAAGTGGTGAAATACAAAGTCTAGAGGGGGG